TTGCTTGGGGGGGGGGGGGGGGGGGGGGGGGGGGGGGGGGGGGGGGGGGGGGGGGGGGGTGTGGGGGGGGGGGGGGGGGGGGGGGGGGGGGGGGGGGGGGCGGGGGGGGGGTTGGCTCGTCCTGTGGTGGGAATATAGGCGTGTTTGGCTGATAAGTACCTATTTACATATATCCTCCTTGCGATACTCCCTGCTCCTAACTTCCATAAGAAGAGCAAGATGGATCTAGCGTAGCATGAGACACTTTGGACGATGGATAGCTGCAAGAAAATAAAGGGGTAGAGCATATAATAGTGGGTCCGTCATTGAACACCAGAAAAGGGGCTAGGTGTGTGACGGATGAGTAGGTAATTTATGCAACATGTAGAAATACTACGATGGATGATGTTTTATTATGATAATTAAATTACGATTAGGAACCTACGGGTTATGGTAGGGTGTTGGAAAAGTTTGACTACAGAATCACAAGGTTGACTAAAATGACTGGCTGGGTTCATCGGCGGTAGGGTCAAGGCAAAATGATAATTTATGATGCTGAGGAAATAGGGCATTGAATGAACAGTATTAAATAGGGTCTAGCACTTACCTAGGTACGTAGGTCGGTGGCTACGAAAGGGGTGGCTACTGTCACGAAAGGGTTACATAAATCAATAATCACATTCATGAATTCACCACACTGACAAGCGTAATGATATATTGAGATAATCTCTCTTTAAGCATCCAGTGGTCTGAAGCAGTTTATTGAGGTTCTTATGCTAGTGTTGCGTCGATGCTTGAGACGGACGGCCGATGATCAGCGTACACGATCACGAACCACGGAAGCATCTGTTGCGATCGTGAGAGGCAGTAGCGATTTCAAACTGAATCGAAATATACCTTATATCCTCTCCTAAGCACCAAGCTAAATAGCCATGAGTGAAAGGAAAACAAGAAAGAAGTTGCCATCGCGTTGCTTGCCCAGCAAGTGTGTAAAGGAGTTATCGACTAAGCTTCCCTGAAGTCGCGTCATGACTCCATACGCAAAGTTCAGTGAGAACTAGAGACATCTGGACCGTGGAGAATGATCGAGTTGAGATATTTGTCGATAGGATGCCGTAATGCCAGGAGCTTCGATTGGGTGAAGGATAAATGTCGATGATGATACGATGCAGTGCCTACTAAGCGGTTGAGGCTAAGACAAGATCGACTTGTAAGTATAGACCGACTGGTCAGACAAGCGAAATGGATTATACAGCTTACGGGGGTCCATCTCTCTGAACCTTTCCTCGCGGTTTCTGTCTGCAGCATTGCGGGTAGTGTTGTGGTCCGCGATAGGGAAGGCTTGACCGATGACCGAGTCAGACCGCAAGAGCTGGAAGTGGCGAATAAGACGGTTCTCTTCCCAGAAGGCGAGTCCATTCCAGTTGTGGGGGTCAGTATCAATCAATGCCACGATTTTTTCACGTATTCCCAACGACGTACTCGGATCAGAAAACGATCTAGCTAGCCAAGACGGGCCGTTCGCTCCGTCTGGTGCGCCTTGCCAACGTGCCATAAATGGCGACACCATGTTGGGTATGATAATTCTGTCTTCGCCTTGAGATCTCTCGTAACAATACCTCAAAGGCCTCGTGAAAAATCCTTCTGTAAGATCTCCTGGAAACTCCCTACCCCAGCAGTCATAGTCATCTATGACGTCTTCGTCAGATGCGTCTAAGCCCGCATGGAACTCATCATGCAGTAGCAATCTTTTGATTCCAAGCAGACCCAAGCCCATGATGTATTCAAGCCTGCTACCGCTGGGTACGGCAAAAAGCCCGGGGTGCAGCGGCGTGGCCTTCCGACAAATTGACGTACCCATGCGCCAGATTGCAGCTAAATGGCATTCGACCATTCCATAGACGGCATCCAATTCCTTTAGTAGAAAGGGCTGCAATGATTGCAAGAAGAGCATCTGCTCAGGAATACGCCGTTGGGGGAACATGCCGTAACGGCGCTTGGAGTGGCGAAACAGCATGCAGTAAAGCTGATAGATCAAAAGTGCTCGGCGAATGCGGTAAGACTCGATCCTGTTGAATGAATGTTCGTCCTCATTATCTAAGTGGTGATAGAGAACGAGTTCCATGGTCCTGGCAGCACTCCCAAGTTTGTACGTCTTAGATCTATCAAGGTGGATACGTCGAATCCAAAACTCAATGGATTCTAACAAACGCCGAATATACTGCAGCGTTTGGATAGTGTAAGGGATTTCGGGAAGTGCTCTGTCTTCGCTTCGCTCAATGAATTCTTTGAGCCAGAGGGCATATTGCCTTGGTCCGTTGTCGATTTGCTCGAACGGTCGTCTGGATTGATCGTCAAACTTGATGGAGATAATGCGGAATAAGAGATGGCGAATCTCAGAGTTGTAGGGCATCTGTTCGAATTCACCGAAGATCATTCGGACGAGCATGGGAAAGTTTTCCTCACAGAACTGACCAAGTTCTTCGTGCTTGGCTAACACTCCTTCCGCTTCCTCTTCGGAATGCTTTGTCAAGATTATGATTGCGACATCGCGTGTCTTTCCAGAGATTACAGCTTCGAGGTTTGCCATCCTGCTTATGTTTAGCTTGTTTATTCCAATAACGTTAGTGACTCCAGGGGGTCAGTAGAAAAATGGAAATAGGTGCAGTCACAGAGCTTTAGGTCCAACTAAGAACGGCGCGACGGTAGAAACTCTCAAAAGGATAAGATGAAAACTTACGTGATGTTCGAAGTAGTTCTAGGTCTATGTAATGTATCGAAGAGACCAAGAGTTCGACCGTTGACCGATGTAGGGGCCACAGATGCTGAGAACCGTTATAAAGGCTTAGTAGATTGCTTCTTAGATGAAGGTGTCGTGCGTAAAACCACAGCTTTAAGAGCTGGGGAGTAGTTCAAGGATGACGAGAATATTGCTCGCAGAATGGTCTCGTTTATCCTCCGATGTAAGTGTGTTCAGCGTAAGGGGAGTATGGCCTGCTAGGAATTTGTATACCTAACAGGAGAGACGCCGATGAATATTTACCGATGAGAAAGTTCTTGTCGCGATATTGTTGTTCCACGTGCTGTTATCAGTAATCTTCGGTTGGTTCAAGTGAGGATAGAGAGGGGAAGTTGGTTGAATGAGAAAGGTAGGCGGTGTTAAATAGAAAATCAATCCTGTGTTATCGAAGTCGGGGCTAGTTTGGATATTGTACCATGGAGAGGATAGTGTTCGAAGTCGCAAGTCTCAGGGTATAAATATGACCAATTAGCTATACACGATGTCGGAAATTGGCTAAGAATAGTAGAGTTGGATGTGACTTGTACGATCGAGATCGAGTATGTACCTATAGAATGGTAATATTTAATCAATGCAGTAGGGACCCAACGAATACAAAGGTAGCTATTACTAAAGATACAGTGTCGCTACTTGGATACTGGTTCATAGGAAGGCAGGTAGCCTGAAGAGTAATTTATCATCGAGGGATCTATAAGTCACTCCCACGATATCGCTCATCAAAGGATCATCTACTTGTAAGCCGAGACCTGTGAGTGCTTGATATATGGTGATACACATTGGGCTGGTTTGTAGTCTTTTCAGACATATGTCGAGCTTTCAAATATGAGTAAGTGCTTGAGTTTCTGCTTCAAAGAATTTATTGTCATCTCAAATAATGTCTTCTAGTATAGCCGCAGGAGTCACTGACGAACACAACCGTTCCGTCTGTCTTAAAAGCGATTAATTCTCTCGATCCAGACATCGATACCTTAGTCGTATTCATGATGCTCGAAACTTGGATGATAGTCACCAGAATACCACCATGGAGGACCCTAATTTATGGTAATTGTCTCTTCATATTTCTGGGGATGAAGATGTAATTGATCATATCTGCTCATGTAATTGAGGACTCCGCTTTTCAGTTGATGAATCACGACTATCCATTATGAACCTCTCGAGATCGTGATTTGAACGGAATCTAGTAGTTCGTGAGGTAGATTCTATTGATTGCAGTAGTGTGATGAATTTGGACATTAAAGGGGCTTAAAACTTACATAAGCAGGTCAGTAAATGAATTATGATCAGATTACCGGCGTTTAGCCGTCAACCGCTAGCGCTAGTGCTAGCGGTTGCACTGCATGCCTCTAGCGGTAAAGTGCATAAATGCATATATGTAGGTATCTACTACCTATCATGATAGTTACCTAGCCAAGCTTCACGATTCATTCCACTTTACTTCCCTTTATCGATCTTTGTGACTTTCCAATACGATTCCTTCACCATTCTGTCCTCAACACCCACACACGAAGACTCACAGGGTTCGAACGATGAGCTACTCCTTCTTTTGTGGTACATAAAGGCGGTTCCTGTTACAACGCCCAAGAAGTGCACTTGCGCTTCGACTTTTCCGAACGATCGCCTTTCCTTACCATGACAACCAATTCTCGCTCGGCTTCTGGTGATTGATCCGACATCATTTAACAATGTCGGTCAGCGCGAACTCGCTGTCCCAGTACCTGGAGCAGCTGCCCGGGACCACTTTTAGGAAACTGTACCAGCAGCCCTCCACAGCCTTTGCCATCTTCAGGCGCATGCTTCCTCACACAGGTAAGAGCTTGCTCTGAAGCATACAAAGCTGCTTTTGGAGGTGATGAGTTGCTTATTATGAAAAATAGCCAAGACCATTGTGATGGCAGTCCTTTATTCCCCCACACCATTCTCTCTCGCCGACCTCGACCTATGGGTTAAACCCTCCGCGACTCGCGAAAAGGACCAGGCTTTAGCCATCCTTCGATCTCTCCATATAGTCCAACCTCAGTCGTTGGCCCTGACTGTTAACTTCAAGAATAGCTTGCGGCTTGCATTGGAAGGAGGAGGCGACCATAATTCATTCGGCGTCCCATCCACCGATCCTATACCCGACGAGGTCGACCATGCGTTCCTCGATAAATACGCGAGAAAGAAGTGGGACGATATCCTACACTACGTCGTTTCCGCTACCGGTCTGACCATGGAGAAGGGGTCCAGTGGTCCTAAGCAGTCCGTCAAGGACCTTCTTATGGCTGGTCGTCTAGTCGAGCGTAGTCATGGCGAACTCAAAATCACACATATCGGCTTCTCGTTCTTGCTGCAGGAAGCAAATGCGCAGGTCTGGGCTCTGCTACTCCTCTGGCTCGAGGCTATCGACGCAGCCAATGCCAACGGGTCAAAATCAGATATGGACGGCGTGGACATGCTATCATTCTTCTTCCTTCTAGCCTCCCTTGAATTTGGGCGCGCGTACAGCACCGACGCCCTGACCGAGAGCCGGCGCAACATGCTACCCGTGCTCATCGACTTCGGTCTTATCTACATCCCCCAGCATAACAAGCGCCAATTCTTCCCCACGCGCCTCGCCACAACCCTGACGAGTAATGAGACGGCCCTCCGCAGCGTCAAAGCCGGGTTCTCCGCGGCCGCCAGCGCGACGAGCGACGAGCAGGACAAGTGCACCATTATCCTCGAGACCAACTTCCGAATGTACGCATACGTGCACTCGCCCCTGCAAATCGCCGTCCTAGCGCTCTTCTCCGACCTCAAGTTCCGCTTCAAGGGCCTAGTGTCGGGCCACCTAACGCGCAAGTCCATCAAGAAAGCCGTCAGCCACGGCATCACGGCCGACCAGATCGTCTCGTACCTCTCGACGCACGCGGACGAGCAGATGTACCGGTACGCGGCGTCGACCAACAAGCCGGTCCTGCCGCCCGTCGTCATCGACCAGATCCGGCTGTGGCAGCTCGACACGGAGCGCGTGTCGACGACGGAGGGCTACCTGTTCAAGGAGTTCAGCGACTACAAGGACTACAAGGGCGTCGCCGACTTCGCGGAGAACATCGGCGTGTGCACCTGGCGCAACGATAAGAAGGGTATCTTCTTCGCCACTAAGGTTGAGCAGATCAAGGACTTCATGAAGTCTCGTCGTAAGGCGAATGAGGCGGGCGGTGGGCAATAAAAGTTCACGCCGCTGAAGGTTGATTGGATGGCGGATGGATGGGGGTACGGAGTGAGTAGACTTTTTGTCCTTCGTATTTTGATTTGCATCCCCGTCATCATCATCAGGTTAGGCGTTCTACGGTCTGCAGGCATGCATTTGGGTACGGCTGGGACGGGATGGCTTTTTGCGGTCCACGGCATAAGCAAGTAGACAGGCGTTTAAAAGCCGTTCCGTATTAGGGGCTTTTGCCATGCTTGCATTGAGGGAGAATACAAAAGTTTTCTTTACGAATACCACGAACTCATATCTTCTACGAGACAGTCACGAATAATCAGTCCAATATGGTTTTGTGGTAATGCGTATTGACATTGACATTACCGCCCATGATGATATCCTCCGATGACCCCAATTCCAGGAATATTAGTGTACAACCAATTCTTGGTTCGTGCCTTTTTCCTCATAGCTCATAGATTCATGAATTCGTAGACCTTCGACTGATGATTCCAGATTTTCTCCGTTCGAAAGCCCCATTCATCCTCCCAGAGCAGGGGCAGCTAAAATGCGTATCGTATGTTGGCAGTATGATACCACATCCAACCCCCCTCTCCTATCCTTTTTCCTGAATTGCCAAAGCCTCTGTTCAATCGAAATCGAGCCTATCGTATTGAAAAGACCAGACGATTCAAAGGAAAAAACGGAAAGGGAAAAAGTGAAAAAGAAAAGAGAAAGAAATGGTGAATAGGCAAAAATGCCAGTAAAAACGGGTTGATAAACCCAAACCGCCCGTGTTGTTGATCAGTCTCAGATCCAAAGCGAGCTATCGTCGTCGACATCAATAATATCGATATCAACTAGAAAAGCAGCCTCAAAGGAACACATATGGATCCGAAAGAAGCGGGGGGGCGGGGTTATCAAGAAAAAGAAAAGAAAGTAACCATGCAAATCCGAGTTCGAAAATAGAGTGAAACTCGCACCATCCACCAACGCCGTCCAAGTACCATGGCTTGCAATTTATGCAGCGCATGCGTAGCGTAATACCGAGTCGTCCCTAACGCGAGGGACCTCCCTTCTTGCCGCCATCCTCCTTATCCTTATCCTTATCCTTGCCGCTAAAAATGCGACCAACCCATCTCTTGCCCTTGCCCTTCGGATCCTCGTACATAGTGCCGCCGGGAGGCAGCAGCGCCTCCTTACCAGCATTGCGCGCGTACTGCTGCTGGAAAGCGCGCAAGCTCTTGCGCGCGGCCTCCGTCATGCACAGCGCGTGGAGGTGCGCGAACACGCGGCGCGCGCGCGCGTCCTCGTCGGTAAGCAGGGCCGCGCGCTGCTTCGCCTCGACCTTCTTCTTCTGGGCGTCGTCGTCGTCGTCGACGCCGCCTACATTCGACGATGATGGAAAGCACGCCATGGTGCTGGACGACGGCAGGCCGGCCGGGTTCTGCGGCTTGCTGGCGGTGGTGGTGGTGGGGCCGGGGATCTTGGTCGCGGCCGCGATGATGGCCGCCATGTTCTCCGGCGACAGGTTCTCGTTACGGAACCGGTCTTCAAGCGCCAGGAAGCGGCCCGTCCACCACTCGGCGTCGCGCGCCTCGTAGATCAGGCGCACGCTGTCTAGGTGGTGCGCCGCGGACGCCTGCTGCGAAGATATCAGGTCTTCGTCGCCGCTGGGGCGCTGCGTGCGTGCCGGCGAGTCGTCTTCGTTGGGGCTGGCCATGGCGGACGGCGTGTGGCGACGAGATTGCATACGGAAGCTCGACAGCGATGCGCGAGAAAGCGAGGACGTTAGGTTGTTTAGCACGTTGCGCGTGCGAGACTTGGGGATTCCGCTTTCCTTCTCTCCGCCGGCTTTCTGCGTGGGTCGCGGAAGCTGTGAGCGCAGGTCGAAGGTCTTGTGGGCGCTGCCGCTGCCAAGTTGCGACTGAGGGTTGTTGAGATCGGTGGCGGGAGACAAATCCAGCAAATCCTGGCGTCGGGGACCTCGTGGCGCTGACTCTCCGGGCAGTATATGTTTGGAGGGGTCATAGTCACTCATTTGCTCAAGACCCATACTTGCCAACATGCAAGACACATCCATGATTAAGGGCTCCTCTCTGTGGTCGCGTTCCAGCTCTGCATCCGCCTTCTTTGAGCCAGGCGACAAGTCATCGCTCTCCTTCTGGTCTGCATCCATCTGTTCAACGATCTCCTGAGTAAAACCTCCCATGTATTCCTCATCCTTTGACTCAATAATGTCCTTCTGGTCAGTAATCTCATTCTCTGCTGCACCAGGTGACTCCTTGGTTCTAGCGTCCTGAAGCTCCAACTCAGAACTATCCTTCAGCTTCTCAACCGGAAGAGGCCACTCCTCAAAAACGCTCGACTCACGGCTCATCTGCGAGCCAGCGCCCGAACCCTGACCAGGCTTGGCCTGAGAGCCGTCCGACTGCGGGCTATCTGCGTTCTCGTTGGTAAAGAAGTCACTAAACTTGCCTTTCTTAGTGCCGGGGGGTGTCAGACGAGGAACATTCTGAATGCTAGCCAGGCGCAGGCTGTCGCGATGCTTCGAGCCGAGACTGTCGTCCGAGGCGCCGGACGGGACCTTAGGGCTCTTGGGGAGCTTCAGTTCGCGCTTGGTCCACGCGCCGGGCATGAAGTATGCGATATCGCAAGGCTCGGGAGGTGGGCGCGGAGGAGGCGAACGCACGGGGAGGCTACTGCCGGGGCGTCGGTGGCGGACTTGCGGTGCGTACGGGTGGTAGCCACTGGTTTCAATCGCAACCGTAGAGTTACCGCTCATTACTCGGCGGCGATCTCCCGTGACCCCCTCAGGGCTAGTCGATGTAGTGGCCGATGTATAACCAGTAGTAAGCTGAGAGTCGGGGCTACCAGTCATGATGCTAGCCGACGGACCGCGCGATGATGCGGGCCTTGAAGGATTCTGATGATAAGTGGCGTTGATGGGAGGGGGGATGCCAGATTGGTGGGCCGCTGGACGCATAGGTCCGACGGCGTTGCCTTGGGCTTCATTAACAGTCGTACTAAGAGGCCAAACACCGATTCGGCCAATCTCCTCTGCGCGAGATGCGCCGCGGAAGATGTCACCGCGACCAACTGCTTGCAAGAGACCCATGCCACGACGAGGGTTAGAACGTGTAGGCGATGTGCCATTAGTTGGGGTGAAAGGGCGCGGAATGCGCGTAGGAGTTTGGGGAGGGTCTTTCGATGATTTACCCATCGTTCAATAAGTTCGACGAGTGTTCAATAAGTTCGACGAGTGTTCAATATGTTAAACGAGTGTTTGATGACTCTAAGAAGATGAAGAAGTGCGTTCAAGAAAAGAAGGACGATCAACCGCGACTAAATGTTGAACACTCCCAAAGTCGCAGAGATGTACAGAATACTAAGTATCAAAACGCAACGGACGGTGGACTTAACGAGGATGAAAAGAATATGAAAAGACTCGCGGGCCAAAGATTGAGGACTAGAACGGGATATTTTTCGTTGGTAATCCAGGTAATCTTCGGATGCCATGAGTATTCGGGATGGGGAAATGTGGTAAAGTGTGTTGTGTTTTGAAAAGAAAATCCAAGAGGAAAGATTTTGCGTCCTGTGAGATATGGAAGAGACACTAATTGCAATGGCGGATCCAAATAGCTTGTAATTGATTTCATTTAGGGCATTACACGATCGTCAGTGGTGGAGGATTGTTGGATGAATTTCGATTTCGGCTTCAGATCAGCCTCCAACTAAGCAACGGGAAGCTATCTTTGATGGTGGCAGCTTCTGTATTTTGGGTATGGCTAGGGGGTGCTCCTTTCTTCCATTGTATCATTCAGTTGCCAGCTGTAGCTCCTTCCTACAAGACATCAGGGAGCGTTGGTGGATGGACGACCCCTTAGTGACGACCCCTTACACGTCGATGAGGATGAGCGCCGGCGCTTCTTAGCTGATCTCGGTCACTCTGATCGACAATTCAGTTCACACTGCTATCTTCATGGTCGCTTGAGGTCATTTTATACCATAGGATACCACCTACAGACTCACGGACATAATACTGCTACTGTATGGGAGTTAGTGCCGAATAGGGGTTGAGAGTGGACACGGTCCATATCACTACCAATGGATGTCGTTAGAGTTTAGAGTACCTAGAATCCAAGGTGTGATGCCATTATACCATCAGGACATTCAAGTCTGTTCAGATTAGGTAGCTGGTGAAAGTCTCATTCATAATAATATGGCGTAAGTGATTAGTAATTGTGATGATATGTTCAATATCCGGTTGTGATGGGTTATAGGTATTGATCTCAGTATCCACCTGTCAGGTACCTAGCTTTAACACTAATATGCTCACATTGAGATGTCTTGCACCAATTCCTATAAATTCTCTTAACACTTTATTCATTGAGATATATATTTTTTTAGGATTCTATCCTGTATTTGAACGTCTCATCTCCTTTTCCCCTTTCAATTGGGTTTCCGTGCGAATCCCATAACGCCCGTTCTTTATATGTAACATTCCCCTCCCAATCTAAAAGGATGATGGTCTGTCTCTGGGTGCCATAAGCACCTTTCATGAAATATCCATGCGAATTCTCTTTCTGTTGGTCTTCTGGGTCGCTAGGATCCTCAATCTCGTCAAAAGCAGCTTTCGCCCTTCCTTCATCGGCAGCATCGGCCATTTCCCTCCAACCTTGATCCTCTGCAAAACTTCGGATGAAAACTGACCTCCGAAGCGCGTCCATGTGTTCCTGGAAGCTCATCTTCGGTTCTAGGGGTAAAGTATCATGGTCCAGAACCTTGAAGAGTCGCTCCGTCAATTCTTCTTCGCCTAAATCCTCATCGACTGCTTCTTGTATTGCCTCTACCATCAGCTTCTCTCCGATTTTGATCTTTTCCCATTTAGGGGGCTCGACGTAAACAGCATTGCTAAGCCCATATGTCTGTCCGCGTTCTCCGCCTATCCACGGGACCTCGCCGACGTGGTCCCATCGATTGGAGATGATAGCCAGCGGTTTGATGTTCTTCTCCGTCCTCTGCTTGAGATCGCCGCAGACAAGCGAAAAGCCGCCGACACCCTTGGCAGCACGACCTTCCAACATGGAATGAACGAAATCGTCAAGGCTAAGCTCGGGTGGAGCACCTAACCAACCAGTCACCATACCGCCCCGGCTTTTGACACCGGAGATGGCGTGATCCGGGTCCGGGTCATCTTCACTCGACTCCCGGTAATTCGTCAACACGGCGAAACGTCCGCTCTTGGTGACTCCCAGCCATGTTCCTCGCTCGCGACGATACAAGTCTCGCGCTGACAGTATCTCCTGGCCGGAGGGTTGATGTGTCCACCAGTGAGGCCGGCTGGTAGGTCTGAGAATGTACTCGTCCCGGTTGTCGATAGCTATAAGAGCATATTTCGGGTGTGCAGTCGTGATAAGAACGATACACATTGTGTTGGGAAATAAGGTGGCTAGGAATAATCTTAAGGATCCTTAATATCTTGTTTTCTCTTTTGGGTATTTAGTTAAATATGTATGTAGGACCAGTACGGCGTGACTACCGTAGGAAAGGACAATTATAGACACTCGGGGACACAAATATTGGCGAAATAGACAAACGGAAGAAACAAGAAGAAATTAAAGTTATCTGTCCTTGCCACCGTCTCAACAATATCTGCGTTATGCCCTAGGGACCTCGGGTTCAATCTCCTGATACACACAGCCCTTTGCTCTTGTACAACACAACAGGACACGGCAGCGGCAATGTCTAGGGCTAGACCGTAGATGGGATAGATGAGATTAATTCCAATGGTGGTGTGACACGTCTCATGTGAAATTTGATATTGGAGGTGCTGTTAGATGTATGTAGACCGCCTGGAGTTGCTAGGCTTTTTTGCCTGCAACCTGGGACATGCGACTTCGGCGGGAATAGGCGAAGAAGTTGAGTGGTTTTAATTCATAGGTTCGAGCTCAGAAGGTCCCTTCCAGCGTCTTAAGCGTCTTCTAATGATTCCAGCTGCCCGTAAAGTCATCGGACTTTCGTGGGGTGACGGGTAACAATTAAACGGATACTACCGAGAAGTGGCTGATAATTTGATTAATTTCTCAGCTCCTTAGCGTGGCACAAGTGGCATAGTGGCTGATAGTGGAGATCACCGACAAGTAGCAGATGGTCTGTGCGATGAAAGTGGAACCTGCCGTGGAACGCCTAGACTAATCCAGGCTGTGATTTCCATTTTAAACATGGACACATCAAATCCAACTTCTCCACGAGATCGATCTACATTCCTCTTTTCAACCTTTTCAACTTTTACAAATACTTACACTACGACCTTTGAATCTGACTTGCATACTACTGCTACCCAGAGCAAGAAATAAACATCAAAAGCTGCAGATAATACACATACCACAGGGATTGGGCAACAATACCTCTCAACACTTTCACCCAAGTGGATCAATTCACCGCCGCAAATTATAGACATATTTAAGACCAGTGATAACTAGGAGTACACATACATATTAACCGCATTAGTGACCGAGTCCCGTGCTTCTCCGTTATCCCTTTTCGAATACCTAGTCGTATTCGTTAATACGTACCGGGACCGCTAGCCGGAACAACGAGCAACTGCCGGAGTTTGGACTCATCCAATGAGGAGGAATACCGTTGAGGCTCCTACATCCGGGATGATACCATACGGGGATAACCGGCTATGCTTGTCCGCATTCCGGTGACGATCAATCATGATCTATACACTTATTGACTCTCGTATTGCATGCTAGCCTTCCGAAACGCGCGGCCACCTATCATGAACCCCCGTTGGCTCTACGGGATTAGTAGCGTCTCCTACCGTCACTGACAGTTAGGCTTCTATTGGCTAATGTTCCGCCGAATCTCCTATTGGCCATAATCCAACGCAAGTACTAATCAGCCCTACGTCCCTTTCCCTATGTATTTCCATAATGTATGTGCCTTGTTTACCATGCCGGATGTGGCCTTCGAGTTAAAGTCAAAGTCAAAGACCATTCCCGATCACCCAGTAATCTTCGAGCTAGCCCATCCATATTTATATCATGGTAGAAGTTATCTACTATCATATAACTTAGCACGGCGCCAAAGCAAGTGCAAACCGTCGGTATGGACTAGACATTCTAGGTTCCTTCAGGTCTAAGCCAGTTACACCCCTAGATATTACCTACCTGGTAAAAAGTATTGGGAGTATCTGTTCCTTCTCTGCATGGCAGAAGTTGCTCTTATTAATATCAAAGCATCTTGAAGTATGTATGAAGCCAAAAATATACAACAGCTTCAATGTTTCTACTTCCCCTAAGTATCTCTCTAGTTCACCTGAACGCCCTCAATTCCATTTATCCCTATAATCATGGTCTTTATAGACGCACTCTTAGGCTTCCGGACTAAGTCAAGGTAATCAAGAGCCAACTATACATAATGGCACATCTTCCTATCGCTGGTCGCAAGTCCGTCGGTAGCCTGGACGACGATCAGTTCTATAGCGCACATTCAAGCCGTATAGCCAGTCGGCACGCCAGCTTATCAACTGCACCACGCAATCTCCAGGATGAAACAGCCCACGCCGCGATGCCCTCGGAGCCCCTCGTCTCAATTTGTCAACCTGGCCGCTCCATCCCCGAGTCACCACCAGAAGTCCTGAGTCCGCCACTAGCACGTGCGCCGAAGTCGAGATGGGCCATTCCCTTTTCCCTGCGTCATCAACACAATCCTAAACATCGTCATTTTTGTCCGAAGCCATTAGGCCGCCGCTTGCATAGGACATTCCACGGTACATCAGACAGTATTCCGTTACTCCAACCACTTAGGAGTGAGTCGGGTATAGATGCGATCGATTTTACGAAGCCCTTGATCTCGTCCCCTGCGTCTCCGGTTGTGGACCGCTGGAGCTCGGTGTACACTGGAAGCCACTCTCCTCGTTCGGAAAGATCATATTCCTCGGACCTGATTACCATAGATCAACGGGGAACAGATGCCATCGTTTCTACGATCAGAGCCTATTTGTCCAGTAGAGGGCACGATGATTGTTCACCGCGGATAGGTGCATCAACTGCTAATGAAAATTACCCCCCATCAAAATTCCAGACGGTTCAGGACGCTCTCCGAGAAGGCCGCTTAGATACCGATGAGACGACTGTAGATAAGTATCTAGTTACTACGAGCGATATTGCGGGAATCTTAGATATCGTTATTTCTGGCATTCGCGGTATTCATCGTGGCCGCTACGCAGCCATATGTCTTTCGATGCTGCTGCCCAAGGAATCTCTACCGAAGCCTTCTCCTAAGATCACGGCAATCGTCCCTGGGTCACCCACCATTGCTGATCCAGCCACAACAATCAGCTCCGTTCAACCTTCCTTTAGCGTCGCTGGATGTTCTGGCAACCATAGACATTATCTCGATGCCTCTAGAACTACATTTATATCTCGGCAGAGTATTACCGAAGTTAATTAGGGGCGGTCTTCGGGTAGTACAATCCAAGAAGCAGATAGGGAGCTTTATGCGAGCATCACCGAATCGCTAGAGGTCGCTCCTAACGGATCTACACGACGTTCATCTTTGGTCAATTCTAAACTGCCATCTCCAAGGGATTCCAGATGGGTGAGCCCCAGACTTACTCCTCCGACGGAAGATTCAAGCCCTATGCTAGACCCTACTCTGGAGCAAAGGCGATCGGTGTCCGAACCGGTCAGCCCTAGGGCGTCTTTCGGGGATCTTAAACTTCAAAGCAGCCGTCGTGATGGCTCGATGACTTGTTTCCCGAAATTACCTTCAAGGACATCTACGACTGATTGGCTCACACCCTTAGGCTTATTCGGGGAATCCAATATGTCGCAACATAAATCAACGACGCCAGACCTCTATGTTCTTGGTATCGACGCGCACTCGGGAGCCAGCGCGCCAAAGCCTCTAGGAGTAGTCGAGGAATCACCGCTCCTGACCCCGACCTCGGCCCCGGTTGATAATTTCCCCTTTCAGTCTTCTGGCCCGCAGTGGCCCACGCAAGTAGATGAAGGATCCGACACACATCTCAAAGCAGGTTCCGCAATTGGCGTCTCGGCACATCGACGAAAGAGCAGCTTCAAACCAATAGAAGCTCCGAAGCCTCATCCGAATCACGGTCTTCTAGATACATTGCGCCGATACAGCTTCATGCCACTATTAGACCAGACGCCAGAGAACATCCGTGAGGCATCACCCCCAGCCCGAACGTGGACCGATCTGCCTCTACGAGAAGACGGCGGAAGGAAGAATTCTTCAATGGATCTATTGCAGGAGATCCTGGATAGGAAACCGGCATCGAAGATGCCGTCTCGGAGATCGTCGCGAAGACCGTCGCACATCAACGTTGATATTCAGGGCCGAAGCAGAACGGGTACGGCGTCATCGCAAAGGAGCGGGCGAGATCGTATGTCATGCTCGGAAGATCATATGCCGCATATTTGTACGGACGAGCAACTGACGCCCCTAGGGTCCGATACGACTTGGTTTGGGTGAGATATCGACTATTGTGATTACCTAAGTAGATTGGCGAAACGAAAGTTGGGTCTATTAGAGTCGCCAGAGATTCACGTCAAATTAAGAACCAGATTTTCCCTGAAATATTATTTAATTGATCTTGATTGTGTACGTGTGACAGTGAGCAGTTCACAGTGGAAGCAAACTCGATTTAGCCACCCATCGTACCTTTCCCATGCGCATCTAAACTAAGTTTGATCTCAATATCAACACAGTGAATTGTACTCCCCCATATCATACACATCACCCCCTTTCACATCTCCCGAAACGGAAAAGTAAGAACTTTTACCGCTTCCACTGCCCCGCGTTCTCAACCCCCTTCGACACGCTCTCGGCGCCGTTCTGGACCCCCGTGCTGACGGATCCCAGGGCGTCGCCGACGGGCTTGCCGGTGGATCCCGTGGCGCTCGTCACGGTGTCGCCGAGCCCGCGGCCCGCGGCGCCGACGACGTTGCCCGTCGTCCGGCCCACGCCGCCCGCTACGTTACCCACGGTGCTGGTGACGAACTTAGCGGCGCCTGTCACGCCGGAGGATTGGGAGTTGTTTTCTAGAGGCATGTTTTGTGGTTTTATGTGGATTGGCTTTGGTGAAGATTGATAGTGCGTGAGTCAATACCTAGGTAAGTAGTAGGGTTTTAGGTAGCAGTGCAGGTAACGTTGAGTTTAGATTATTTGGTAGACCTGAGGAGTAGGAGGAACTGAATAGAATTGTATGAGACAATGTTGAAGGTATTTAAATGCTGCTCATTTACATCGACATCCCCTACGTAAACGTGTAACATATTGAGGATGGGATAAGGTGTGACGTCATGGCTTCCTTAACCACCTTGATCATCGGACGGTGAGGTGCCACAAGCCAATGAAGGGGCTCAATCATGGCAATTTTATTCATGCAAAGTTTGTGACGTCATGATAATGTAGTTTGAACATTTAAGGTGCTGAAGTAAGACGAGCAGGATCAATCCATGGAACGCTTATGAGACTTCCAACGGTTTTTAACGTCGGGTTATAAGAAGAAGCGCTGTTTTCCGGGGAACATCTCCTGATAGAATGTCAAACAAGGGCATCCATGTTTGGTGTGTTTGGTGCATGAGCTCTCCTACTCACAGTCACTTTATATCGACCGTCGGAAGCGTCGCCAACCATCTCTGCTTACCTAGGCTAATAGAAGTGGTCGTTGACATTTGTACAACCTGGGAGTTGCATATCTCCCAGAGACTTGAGATGAGTAAGCTTCAGCAACAACTAACTTCGTGACTTCAAAGCTCAAGATGTTCCACTATCGCGTCTCATAGTTCGGCATTTCAGCTCCATGGTTACCAAATGATTCGTACGAAATACTTTACGAGAAGTGCAGATTACAAACAAGCCGAGACAATGTAAACTTAGGAGATAAGATTAGCGGGAGTCGGACCTAAATATCGCCGCTTTATCGTTGCCAATGGCTGCACAGAGCGTACCCATCCAGAAGGCTTTAACACCGATGCTACCTACCCACTATTACTTGCATTTTCCAAATATGCGAGATAATCCAGCGGCTTTTACGAGAGTAAGCGCCTAGTAACTACGTCGAGCGGGTGACACATCGTCCATCCAAGAGTATACACCGTTACACTCAATTACTTCTCAATTTGTTACTTACCTACACTTGAATGGGAAACAGATATCTCGGCAGGTATCGTGTTACGCAACTTACAATGGACCCTGTAGGCGTGCCTAGGCAAGTATAGGAATGCGGGGCTTCAGCTCCCTTCCGCTCTTCCTAGGCCCAAGCCCCAAAGCCACTTATATGCCGGGAGAATATCACCTCTCTGTTCTCCGCTTCCCAGCGCTGCGATATTTAAACCAGATACTTTCGCTCCAAAGAACGGACTATAGCCATCGCTAACCTACCCACACTCATCTAATACTCGTATCATACTCTGAACTTTCTGTGCTCTCCTAATTCAGCATACCAACAAATAAGCACCCCTTAACACAGACAACTCCGGACCTCGGAAATTGGATAAAAATGGTGGCAGTCGTATCCGTCGCCTACAAAGCAGGCGGCACGTTCGATATGGACTACTACCTCAAAACCCACATGCCCCTCGTCCAAAAGACCTGGGCCAGCTTCGGCCTCAAGAGCTGGAAGGTAGCCCAGTACACCAGCCCCGACTCCATCTACGCCGTCCAGGCGTGGCTCGAGTTCGACGACCTATCTCAGTGGGAGAAGGCTACCGCGGCGCCCGAGGCTGCTGCGGTCTTTGCCGACATCCCCAACTTCTCCAGTGTGGGGCCCGACAAGCTGCTTGGCACACTTACGGGATCTGCGACTTGCTGAGACATCGTGACGTGTTGATCTCATCGATGGCGGGGGTGTTTAGGCCCTTGCGTGGGAATCGTTAGCGAGCCTGTCGATGTCGAAGCTAGTGTGATGCTTTTTGGGCCGCACGAGGGGAGGTGGATATCAAGATACGACCTCTCATGTATTAGTATCACATTATACAATCCTTCGAAAAGATATTTATGGCATTTGGTCAATATTAATCTTATAGCATCTCGATATATTCGCAATATATGGAAAGAAAGTGAGATCGGGCCTAAAAATGGTCATGAATTGAAGCCGTTTAACACCACTCACTTGAAGGATGCCAGGTCGCCCACAAAAGTCCCTTAAGTTAACATCATATGATCAGATATTTATTCACATAGAACAAATCTTGATACTCTATATAACATGTCGCATTCGCATTTTTGCATTCCTTTAGGTGACACCCTTTAAATTCTTGATCGTAAGATTCATCCTTTCATCATACCCAGTACCTAGGTATGTAGCCTATGACCAAATCCTACCAGTGATGAGAACATCCAACCGTGTAGGTAACAGTTTACCTATGTCTTAGTCATCTTAATCGTAGTACTTCTGATTTACACCCGCAATGATCTCCTTCTCGCGCTGGTCAACCAATCCCGTACGGAACCTGTGGTCTTTCGCGATTCGCGCTCTCGCCCATTCTATAATTCCAGTCAGCATCTCGCCGCGCGTTTCTTATAAACCCCATATGGGACGAGCACCGTACGTACCTTCCGCAGTGACATCATGCGCGAACGGCTCCATCTCCGACTGCAGCCCCATCCGCCGCAGCAACGGGCTCGCGACGGGCTTAAGCAGGATATTCGCCTCCGGGCGCGCGAAGTAGATCAAGCTCAGCCTCGGCGCGCCCGTCTGGTCCTCGGGCGGCCGCACGACGCGGTGCACGGTGCTCTTCAAGTACCCCCCGCTCAGGAACTCGAGCGCGTCGGCGATGTTCACGATGATCGCGTCCCGCGGCGACCGGACGTGCCGCCACCGCCCCTCCGGCGTCTGCACCTGCAGCCCCGCGACCGGCTGGTGGAAGAGGAGGGTCAGCGTGTTGTAGTCCGTGTGCCCCTTCGCCCAGATATTGCCGACCCGCGCGTCCGCCTCCGCCGTGCGCGGGTGGTACTTCATGTACCGGAGGTACTCCAGCCCTTCCGCCTCGTAGCGGTGGCGCTTCGCCAGATACTCCTCGTCGTCGATCTCGAGCACGTACGCAAACAAGCGTAAGAGCGGCAGCAGCACGTCGTTGTGGATCTTCAGCGAGAAGGCGCGGATCTCGTCCCAGTGGTCCCGGATCAGCTGCGGGTGCGGGCGCTCGTGCTCCGCCGTGAATTTCGGGATGTTGTACCGCTCGTCGTTGTCGCGGCCCGCGAGCTTGCCCGAGGACTGCGGCTTGTACCCGCGGAAGTCGCCCTTGGCGGTGTCGCAGGCGTAGCGAAGCTTCTCTTCGAGAGGGAGCTGGAAGAACGCTTCGCAGAGGGCGTACTGGCGCCGCACTTGTTCGTCTGAGAAGCCGTGGCCGACGACGTAGAAGAAGCCCGTTACCTTAGTTAGCTCGGTGTTCTTGGAGAGGGGATTGGCGTCTAACCGTTTTTATTGATGAACTTTAGGACTTGCTCTGCGAGCGCTTGCTTGCCTCCTGGCTGGTCTAACTTAGAGATATCGAGTGCTTCTAGTTCCGCATATTCTACTATTGGGAATCATGTCAGCAGTCAGCCCTTGAGGGTTCTTTGGGGTACGCATACATTGTTCCTTGGTCTCATTTGGATATTCGTAGGATAAAGGGGCTTCGACTCGAGATGGAGACATTTTCCGCTCTATACCATAGACCGTGTTTATCTGATTAATAGGGAGTTATCCTTGAATTCTATTTTCACCTGTCTGGAATAACTTATAACATGAACAATTCATTTAAATTTGTAGTTATCGGCACACCACAGGCGAGCGGGGAAGTATTTGATCCTACATCGCAGACATCTGTACATGGGATTGGACGAATGAAGTCCGTATGAAATGATGCCATTATGAGCTATGAAGGCTAAATCGCAACTACAACTATTTAAGTAATAAGTAAACATCACATCATATGAAGGTATAGAGGATTTAACTCACGTCACTAAACTCCTATCTTCACCACGTACGAGTTAACGCCACTCGACGCTCAACCATCAGTAACCTCCCATTCAAGCAAAATAGTCTATGCAGTAACGCTAGGGTATTCTCGGTCTCCCTTGAAAGTGCATATGATGTATCCTTTCATTCTTTAGGAATTCTTCAAAGTAGCTCTGCGCCCGAAGTTTTGGGTAAAGAGAAGCATCGCTAAGAAAGTGGGTAAAATCATCGACCCCTATTTGGAACTTTAGTGAGAACGGTGGCGCACTGAGAGAAAGGAAAGAGCTCGGCTTTTAACCAAGACATTTAAACCTCGGTACCAATCGGAGAATTAGATACGTACCCGAGTAAGCAAACCCACCAGGATTAATGAGATTACCTAAGCCAGTCTGAGTAAAACACCAACAAAAACTTCCCAGTTGAGTCTTTACTGGATGGAGACTCAATTATACGCAGCAAAAACCATCATGGCCAAAAAGGAATAAAGCCGACGTTGGTTCTAGACTATGGCCGCAATTCAATCCTTTCCTCTTAATCTTCTTAGCGATTCCTTATACCAGAACTAAATTAATCTTATCTTTTTTTCCTCTTTAAATTGATTCCAATCGTTACAACACAAATGGCGCATTGCATGTTCAGGTCACGTGCTTTATTGTCATGCCGGGCCATGCAATCAAATGCTAGCATTGTCTTTGCATCTACAAAACCATTGTCGTCGCTATGGCACAGGCAAAAGTCGCAGCAACAGAGATGGAGTTCCCATTCCCCTTTAGGCGCGAGTTCGGATCCTCCCAGGAAGAAAGTGACCATGGGAAGTATTCGGTCTTTATATAAAAAGGGGGAACCCATCACCGTGATGACAGCGCATGATTTCCCCAGCGCGCATGTCGCCGACGCTGCAGGGATGGACGTCATATTGGTTGGCGACAGCCTAGCGATGGTCGCATTGGGTATGCAAGACACCAGTGAAGTGACAGTGGACGATATGCTTCTTCATTGTCGATCGGTGGCGCGTGCCACCAGGTCTGCCTTCACAGTAAGATCATACGTAACTTCGATGATGTAAGATGCGAAAGGCTAATGATTAACAAGGTCGGAGATCTTCCCATGGGATCATATGAAATCTCACCAGAACAAGCCCTGGAGACGGCCATAAGATTCATCAAGCATGGTCGCGTCCAAGGCATCAAATTGGAAGGTGGAAAAGAGATGGCGCCAACCATTTCTAAGATAACCCAAGCTGGCATACCCGTTCTGGCACATGTCGGTCTCACACCTCAGCGCCAGAATGCCCTCGGAGGCTTCAGAGTCCAGGGAAAGACATCGAAAGGCGCAATGAGAGTTCTCGAAGATGCGCTAGCCGTCCAAGAAGCCGGTTGTTTCGCCATGGTCTTAGAAGCCGTCCCGGCAGAGGTTGCTAGTATCATCACGCAGAAGCTTTCCGTTCCAACTATCGGCATCGGTGCTGGAAACGGATGTTCTGGCCAGGTGCTCGTCCAAGTCGACATGTCCGGATACTTCCCGCCAGGTCGCTTCATTCCTAAATTCGTGAAGCAATACGGCAATGTATGGGCGGAAAGCCTGAGAGCGATCGAGTCGTATCGAGACGAGGTGAAAACGCGACAATACCCAGCAAAGGAACATACCTATCCGATTCCCAAAGAGGAATTAGAGGCGTTCGCAAGGGACGTTGAAAAGCTATGACGCGACGCCCTTGGCTTGATTGAGTCTCGTGTCATTCCAGAAACTTTTTGAGGGCACATAGCGTAATAGGCCCTTTTTGGATTTACTGCATCAGCATGAGTAGGCGTATAAGCATTTTCACGGAGAGCGTGGTCATCATGGCTAGCACAGCTCATCCAAATGCAGGAGTAATTGAATAAACCACGATCAGCTGATCGTTCGAGTCCTTAAAGCACTGTTTGAGAAATTAGCATTTCATAGATATTCACAATAAATAATAACGCACGTACCCTATGCAAGTTGCCGACGATTTCGTCCAGAGCAGGGGCAAATGCGCTGTTTACGTAAAGGAATAAGCCATCCGTCGGGTTGAGCCGCAGCGCCTTGCGCAGGTGAGACACGACCGCTTCGAACTTCTGCGTCGCGCCTATCCGCCGCACCTCGCGCTTAAGTTGGGGAGCAGATCCGACGGCCTTGAAACGGATTAGAATGCGTTCTTGCTCAAATTCGCCGGCACTGGCGAGAGCTGAACTAGCGTCTTGAGGCAAGGCCGTGAGAACGGCTGAGGCGGTCATGGTGAGTGGGAGCTCCGGCGATGCTGGCCGGTCCGGAATGGGAGAGGCCGGAGGCGATGGGGATGGCTGCTCGGGTACGTCTGGATACTCCATCTTGCGTCACGTATTTCCCGTGTTCCCTACGTATTATGGCGAGCACTTATAGGTATATATGGGTCGCTTGACTAGAAAATTCCCGACTTGTCGCAGGTAGATGATAAGGCCGAGGACGGTTTCGAGGTGGAAAAGCGATGGAGCAGATCAGAACCCCAGGCAGCATCAGCAAAGCCACATGGAACAGCGTGGCTTAGTCTGAGGCTTGGCCCTGTAACCCCACTCTGTGTAACGACTACCCCCCCTTTGTATTCATTCCCCCAATAAATGACATCAGAATAAAGATCGTAAGCAGTTATTCGGGGACTTCAATCCAGCCTTTACTTTTTACAAGCCCAAACTAAAGACTGGACCAACATACAACGACATAGTTTCATGTTGCACTTAGCAAAGTAAAATCATTCATCATACAAGGAATAACTACCGATACGTGAGTATCCTTTACAGTCTAGACAATCAAGAGATTCTTCGTGCGGCCCAACTATGCCAGCTCTACCTCGATCACGCCCTCAAATCCGCGGGGATCCATCGTTACAGAAATCATCTCTAATCCCGCATCATTGATTACTTTCTTCCATTCTGCTTCAGTCCTCTCATAAGCAGAAAGGTTTGCCACTATGACAACAGAGTTAGCATTTACTCCTTGACGGAAAGAATCCTTGATTGTACTTACTCAAGGCCACATCTAAGGATGCCTGGTACATGCTTGCCCCTGTACGTGGCATCACAATTTCACATATGAGGATTTTAGAGTATCCCTTCTTCAATGCCGGCTTGAGATTTTGCAGAATCCGAGTCACCAATTCGTCCGGCCAGTCGTGGAGTACCATGTGTAAGAAATATGCGCGGCTTCCTATATTATACGTTATCAATTCCGACTTCTAGTTGCTAACAGCGATGAGAAATAGGTCCGGAACAGAAAATTCTTACCGTGAAGTGGCTCGGGCTTGAAGAAATTGTATTCCATCAGTTTTATCTTGTCTGTATTAAGAGTGAGGCCGGAGATGGCGCCAGCCAAATCTTGCAAGACCAGAGAGCCAGCCGGTAGATTTGGATGCTTATCCAAAAGTTTGAGGAGATCAGCGCCATGGAGGCCTCCGACGTCGACAATGAGTGGACTGCCAGAGGATAAGTCTGCCCCTTCGATGAGGGACGCCGTATCATAGAACTCTGGCCATGGAACTCTGTACTTCGAGTACTCAAACAAGAAACCCCTAAGGCTATCTCGGTAGCTCTTCTTAGTCAGGAACCTGTCAAAGATAGGCAATCTTTCCGGGTTTGCGTCGATATAGCTTGTATTCTTCGCATCTTTGGGCTCCCGATACGATGTCTTGGCCAAAAACGACGGCAGATTCATGTGGGACAAGTCCCAATGATCAGTCCTATGATACTTCAGCAATCATGGAGTTTAGCCCGACAACAAACGACTTACTTCGAAACGATTGCTTGTGCCATACAAGTAGAATCGTCGCCGATTGATAGCGAGAATTGAGTCGGTTTGTATCGATCTTCCCCTGTTTCTTCGATGATATTTGCAGCGCCCAGGAGTCGGAGTAAGCGACCTATTATCACATCAGTTTCCTGATTACGAGTATGACTAAAATGTGAATAGGCTTACGAAGTAGGTTCAGTTCGCAGGTTTTCGTGGTAAGTCCCACCAACTCTTCGACCTGCTTTTCCCCTCCACCAGCTGCCGTCCATCCATGCCAAAGACCAATGTCAAGGCAAACTCTCAATGCTGAGTCTACAAGTGACTGTTGGTATGCGATCTCATAAGCCTTCTCTCCGTTTGACTGTAGACGGCTAACTAGTTTGCGAGCACTCGCTAGCATTTTCAGCCTCTCTGTATTGTAACCCTCAAAATCGGCGGCCGTGAACGCCTCGAGCTTCTTCAAAACCAAGTCAAGGCCCTCCATCTCTAATGGTAGCCTTAAAATAGCGAATTGGAAAATTTAAGAATCTTGGTCGTGTTGATCTAACAGTGGTGGCTTTTCAGCATATATGGTAGGTCCTCCGAGCACTTCTCGGCCTAGGTTACAACCATGGCCGCATTTATATGCACAGTGTGTCAGCGCGGATGTGTAAGTCTACTTCATGATACGTGCCACATCGACGAAGTGTCACCCATCCAACTTCACAATAAAAAGCACAACTTGGTCACAGTGACAAGACACCCGTAGGCAGATAATTAAAGGAACCAATTAACATGGCAACCTCCCGGTTCCGAAGCCGAATGCAGAGTGACAGATCAAACAGTAAGACGGCGCGGTGTTCTCGTGCATCTAAGAATTTCTTCATTCACTAGCCAACGCTCGTCGACGAAAGTAACGATAGGCTAAGCTTAACGAAATATGATGCTTAGAAGGTACTGAGTAGGGCGACACGATATTATACGCCATTATACGACATTATCAAGAAATTAAAAATAAGTCACCATTTCCGCCACTAAGCGTCCGCAGCAACACCTTGCGATCTTGTATACCTATATACGAACAAAAAAACTACTATTTGCTGAGACGGTATTCTCGTGATACCAAAACCTCTTATATATCGATACAAGAAAATGAACGGCGGGGAGAGTGGGGGTATACCGCCTAGGTAGGTAGATGTGCCATGTGCCCGTGTCAGCTCGCTTACCTACAGGAGGAATTGCACTTTTTAGCACCTACCATCCCGCTGACGCCATTGGTCGTACTGGCGATTTAGGATCTTCGTCACCCCCGATTAATTTGTGGCGCCGCTTTTCGGTATTGCCAACATCATCGTCATCACGTTGGTGACGAACAGGCGTGACCATGTCTTCTTGCGAAGAATGCCTCTGCCTTGATATCCCACGCGCCATCCAGCGATTATAGCACACGGAGGGGACCGGCCGGCCCGACGATGACGAGGCTGGCTGGATGTACGGATGGCATGGGCGCGCCCGTGATGTCTTCCGCTGCGCCGAGCAATCGAAATGCGATATCTGCGCCGCCGTAGCGGAGGCTTGGCAAGATTACCCGCGCTGCGGCTATCGTCGATAGCTTGAAAGACGGGATAACCAACCCGCAGGCTCCTCCAGACGACCCAGACGCGGGCGTGCGGAAGATACCTGCGTATCACAACGGCAGGGTCGAAACCGTAGTTCTGCGGTTAGAACGCGCAGACGACGGGCGCCAAAGATGGAGCTACGCGTTGCGTGTAGCTTGTGTGCCGGAGTCGACAGTTGGTTGGGATGTGCATCACGAATTGTTCGCCGAGCTAAAAATAGCGAAGGACTTGTGCTCAAGGACTTCGGGTGGGGATTCTTACGATGAGCTCGACATGGACTGGACCATACCGGAGATCCCAACATCCGTCGAATCTATCGATATTACTCGGACGTGATTGGAGACTTGTGTTTCCAAACGCTCTTCATGTTTCCTAGAAGATGGGAAATTTAAAATACCTTCAAGGTTCTTGGATATCGGTAATCCGATTTACCAAGACTTCGTGGTCCTTAGGGAGGCTTACGAAGAATCGCCCCTAGATTCGAGATACGTCGCGTTAAGCCACTGCTGGGGTACAGCTCGGGTTATCACGACCACAAAAGCCAACATAGGGGACCATAAGCATGGTATAAAGTTCGAGTCCCTACCTCAGACATTTAAAGATGCAGTCCAAATTGTCCAGAAATTTGGGCTGCGATATCTGTGGATCGACAGCTTATGCATCGTACAAGACGACCCGAACGACTGGAAAAGAGAAGCAGCTCGAATGGCAGATGTATATCGGAACGCATACTTCGTCCTCGGCGCCACAAGAGGCAAATCTGATGCCCAAGGATTTCTCAGGCCCAGGCTAAAAGCACCAGGATCTGCCGTGCTCGGCGACTTTACTTTTTCCCCCCTACCCCCTTTACCCCGCCGATGGACCACGGGCGTCGACATGATGAGAGACGAACCCCTGAGCGACAGAGCGTGGTGTCTCCAGGAGAGATACCTCGTGCGGCGCATGTTGATGTACGGGAGCACGCAAGCAGCGTGGGAACGCGCAGAACTGCGCGCGAGCGAGGATGGAGAGTCGATCTACGAAGAAGGAGATCAGCTGTCACGCATACTGCAGACAGCTAACACCGGCATATCTGTTTTCGGCGATATTCTACCTACCCCGTGGAACAAGGACCTCCTCCCGCGGCGGCGTGAGACGGCCGTTAGGTACGCCGATTGGTATCGCATGATAGAGCAGTACACTACGCGAAACATAACCAAGGAAAAGGACCGATTGCCCGCCTTGTTAGGTGTAGCTAATGCACTTGGTGCAATCACCGGCGATGATTATGTAGCAGGTATTTGGCTTGGCGGCTCACTTGAAGGATTGACCTGGTGTGCTGCGAATAGGGATGGGCTAGACCGTCCTCAAGCTAGGACCGGTCCGTCGTGGTCCTGGGTTTCCGTTAAAGGGCCGGTACAATTCCCTATCTACTCATGGTACGATTATAGTGAAGGTTGGGAATTTGGGTCAGTAAGATTCGAGCCTCTAGCTAAATATATCGAACATTCTCTAGCCGACAGCACGTTACATCTAGTAGCCCCAATTGTAGCAGTTACAGGACATCTCCCAAGGCCGACAATACAGCCCGCGGACACAGAGAGATGGTTACCAGAGCCCCAATTCTCTCCGGCTACCGATACTGTCTTCAGCTTTCGGCACCAGTCCGAGGAGTATTGGGTAGAAGGGGCATTTGGTATCAAGCAAAGACATGGTCCCGAATACTCACTGTTTGGGATATTCCTCGTCAGAGTTCCGTTTCATCTCGGAGAAGAACGATTCGATCGTCGTTTGGGTCTTGTTCTGAAAATGACAGGAAATGCTTACGAGAGGGTTTGCTTTGTCGACAGCTACATTCTCAAACCCGATATCACTGATGATGGGCATCGATTCTCGAATCTTTCCACAGACATTCATGTCTTTAGATCTCTAAAGGTAGCCGAACTTAGTGATACTGAACCAAGTAATACGGAAGACACCCTTCGTTTGGATCGAGTCCAGGTCATCTTAAAGTAGATAGGGTACCTATGTACTAGCTATTTCAGAAATAAGGGAGTTTACTGATAGCATTTGTCACCTAAAACTTTGTTTATTCTCTGAGAAGTATGAAAAAAGATAATAGCTAGCTGCCTACCTACCTACCTACCTAGATAGTCTTCTTCTAGTCTTATAAAGAAACTGGACTTTGGCAGAAAACTACAAAAAGAACTCCGAATCGGGGAATCGAACCCCGGGCTTGGCGGGTCACTGGACAAGAAGTGAGAGCACCAAATGTTAGCCACTACACCAATTCGGACTCTGGGTGACCGATGGTTCCGACATCTATGAGAATATGATGATTGAAGTTATCATATATGCCCTTATTTCCTTAGCGCTGTTTGCCCACGTCAGTCACAACACACACAGCTTCAAAAGTTTCATCGGATAGCAACATAAGATGAAAGCTACATAATGCCCTGGTAAGGTGTGCTTGTAAATAATTAGCTGGAATGCGGAACTCGTGTCCCAATGATTGTGATACAAGATACAACGATAGGTTTATTACCATTCAATTTAACCTTTTTGAGCAGATATGTTACGTGGAATAGGTGCATGGAACAGAGCAATCTTAACGAAGACCTGCTACGACAGGGAAGTTGTGGGATACTAGTATGGCACTTCTCTTTCTGAATACATGAATGTCTCATAAGCAAACCGAAGGCTTGGTTAAAAACGATGGCATGCTCGATAATTCAATTCACGTACCGAGAAACGAGACGGGTAGGTCTACTGTAGGCCATCAGTGTTGATCGACGGTGCGGTAAATGTGATATGGAATGGTTCGCATACTCTACTTTAGATGACCATATTATCTTAGGCCAAACATCGAACTGATATAGAAAACGGCATCCCAGAAGTTTGCTACTACTTGCTGAGCGCCGTGGCTTAATTTCTGAATGTTGCATGGATTCTTTATTCGTAGACTACTACTTATACATACATGATCTATGGATCATATGGTTGCACCGTTGCTTCATCAGTGTCGAATAGTGTGTTGTTGTAAAAGCCTGCCTGACCTGGTCATCTGAACCAGGTGACTTGAGAGTACCGTCCATGTCCTAATCCCCCCTTAGAACTACGCAAATCGAACGCCCCTACCACTAGGCCAGCCGAGAATCTGTCAAGATTGGGAGAAGAGAAAATAAAGCCACCCTTCGCCGAGAAAATGCACGATGCCAGGGTGCGACACCCAGATGTGAAAAGTAGAACCAAAATGCTAAGACTCCATGCCATGCCGTTATGCCTTTTCCGTTCAACTTTTGGGAAACGGATCAACTCCAATCATCTTATCGAACAGAGATGGTTTGGAAAGCCGGAAGAAAAGTAAAAAAGGAAATGGGTATCATCGCGCCGCGAATGCCGAAATTAGAAACAGGTTCATGATATGCTATGTTCCTGGAGATGAACGACCGGCGAGGAATTAGGGCGTAGAGCAATGTTGGGATCGGGAGCAAATTAATGTTTGCAAAGTGTAGGAGCTACGGGCAAACTAATAAGCTTCTTCGAAATCCGCAAGAGAGGGTGTCCAGGATGCAAAAGACTTGTGTTTAGGGGCGCGTTGAAGTTGGGAAAGGAGATCATCAAGATCACCCCAGTTTTCATCATCGTCAGCAAATTTGCGATGCTTCTTGGATAGAATGTGCTAAGCCTAGTGTTAGTACTAACAGATGAGCACCGAGGGAAATTTTGAAACATACCTCATCGAAATCCGCATACTTCTCCGCACAGTTCTCGCAGTAACCAGGCTTCAACTCGGCCTTCTTTGGTTGCGCAGTTTCTCGTTTCGTCACGCGTGGAACAGCCTTGGAAACGGCCTGCGTATCCTTGCCAGCTGCAGCCTCCTCAATCATGTCAAGCTTTCGACTCGAAGTGCGACTCATGGTGCTGAAAGATCGTTTGGCTGGAACTTCATCTCGGAAGCTCGCCTCTCCATTACGACGGGAACTCAAGTCCTGCGAAGTCGCAGTGCTATTACGCTTCAAGACCTGACGTTGAAGGCCGTGGACCTCCTTGCTCAGACCGGTTATAACACCTGGTGTCGTCGCAGTTGACGATACCATCTGGGATCGAATGGCCGAGGTCACGTTGGAGGGCTGGACACCAGATGCGACAGGCTCGCCACCGAAGAGGCGGCTCGCAGAACGACCAGTGAACGCCTGGCGGGTATCCGCGAATGGGCCGACAGTAGGCTTCGTTGGAATGGTCAATTCCATCGAGGCAACACTAGAACCACGACAATGACCGTGTTCCATCTCGCCTAACGATCGCTTTCCAGTGACAGGCTTCGGGGGCTCCATCTTTGTCGGAGCTTGGAGGATGGGCTTAGCCTCAGCAGCAGCCCTAGTTACTTGGACTTTCGGCTTGGGCTGAGGCCGGACATCTCTTGGTTCATACTCATCGATAAACGGGCAACGTCCCAATGCAGCAGTTCGGAACTGAGGCCAGTCTCCCTTAGACTTCTCTGCAACCTTCTTGTATTCTCGAACCATGATTGGCTTCTGCTTCTCCTCGAAATCGTACACATATATGTACGGGCCCTTGAAATAATGCAACTCCTGGGCGTTCACGGTGGGATCTCGATCAGAGGGACCATTGACGCGTTCATTATGAAGAAGATGAAGTAGGTTGCGGTCTTCGGTGGTGCGAGTCTCGCTGACCCTCGTCTTGCGCGCCCCATAAGCGATCTCTGCACTGACATAAGGGTCAGTCTCAAGAAGCAAGTCCAGCATTCGCTGCAACTTGTCCAAAGACCAAATCTTCTTTCCCATCTCTCTAGCACGAAGAAGCACATCCATATTGCGCTTGGGCGGCTCAATCTGAGTCTGAGATGGCAACTTCCGCGTTCTGAGGTCTCCGTCATATCTACGCTTCGTGGAAGCCTCTGATAGCCGGGTTAACAGAGATGGGTTGATAGTCTTCACTTCTTCGTGCTCCTGCTCTTGCTCCTGAATATGCTCCGCATGTTTCTCGCTAACCGCGTGCTCGCCATCTCGGCGGCTTACGCTCTTCTCGGAGGGAATCGTTCGGGTAGTGACGACATGAGTGATTTCGATAGAGAAGAATGCCGCCTCACGCTGGAGAGAAACCATGTTAGTCAACTCATCAATCAGGATCCAATAGGGTTAGCAACTTACAGCACCCAATGCTGCAATCTGCTTGGCCAGTTTTTTGTGTGCATCGTTAGGGACCTTCTCGAAGTAAAACACGAGTTTGGGGAATCTGGCTCGGTGGTGTTGTTGCCAGACTTGAATCTCTTCAACATCCTTCTCGGTATATCCGGGGTTAGCGGTTACGGCCTGTTGGTGGTGGTGATGACCGGATCTCTCCTTCGCTAATTTGCTCTCGTAACTGTTCGCGTTGCGGCGTGTCTGTATCGGGATCTGACTTCTAGAGACTCGGTGCTGCTGTTGCTGGGAAGGGGATTTCAATGAACGCTGAGAGCCAGCTTCGATCATCTGTTTCTTGGCAGGAGGTGGCTGGCCATATTGCTCCTCGCGCTGTACTTGGGCGGCGGGGCGTTTGTGCTTAGCTAGGAGAGCTGAGTTTCGTAAGGGAGAATTGGCGACATTCTGGTTCGTAGAAAGAGGAACTCGTCTACCAGACATGGTGGAAAGAGGAGCAGGAGTTGGTGATATAGATACGGCTGCCATATAACTGAGGTATTACTCTTAGAGATGTTGTGTGGGGTGGAGATGGCGGTGGGCGGCCTAGACTAGTAATTTGAAGGTCAAAATGGGTATGGGTAAGTCCTGCGACCAACAATTATTTACTAGTTAGTGATTATTGCCTCGGCAATAACGACAACAACAACAATATTAATAAAGTCGAGTTTAATTATTATTCGACTTAGAGAGACTTTGTGTCGTTGTTGCTTGTAAAGTTGAACCGAGTTGCCCAAGGTGCTCCAGAGCTGCTTATGTCCGAACCCTGACCCTTTTTAGTTGGCACGCGACGAACCGTGACACAACACGTCGGATTTGAAGGGCAAAACACGCGCGATGATTCGACGTCAGGATGACATTGAGATCAATTGAAAAAGAAATGAATGATCTAGGAGAATTCAATGACTCAATCGACGCGAGAATAGACTTGAAGATCGACGTGCAGAGGCGTGAAAGTCGAGTCGAACTTGGACAGCTTAAAGCTTGGTGGTGGGCAAATAATAGAATTCAAGAGTTTAGCTCCAAAGCTTTTGAGAAACGAGTGGACAAACCGCGCTAGCACTAACAATTTCCGAAAATCAACAACAAGGTTGGTGCACGGGCCATTTGACATCACTGTTAGCCCCCACTGCTGATGTGCACGGCAACCACAGAAACCGCACACCTTAGGTAATACTACGTACTGTCAGCTACCCCACATACCCACCACATTTTTTATACTTAAGTAATCGGCCAATCATCTTACCAACTTTTCATTTACTCAGCAAAAAAATTCCGAAGCTCGACGATTTCAACCCGCCTCAATCCTCCGAATTACAACGTCAAAAACCACACAGTTGTACCAAATATTAATCTATATACCTTGGATTAAGTGTAGAAAAACGTTGGCTACCTCCTGAAGTTCTCTACTTGTCCGGGATCAATTGAACTTTAATATTCAGATATTACCCTTTTGGGAAATGTCCCAAGCAATTGGGTGACGCAATTGGTTGAAGCGCTATTCTCACTCTAATCATGAAGCTCCATCGACTCCCGTTATGGCAACTCGAACGACACTTTAAACCACACTCGACCCTATCTTCTCCGCAATTGACACGCTTATGTTCAACCAATCCCGCTTCTTCGACATTCTCGAAGCATTCATCGAAGTTAAAGTGCATAAATCTAGAATGTAACTCTAGATCTACAGCGGCCAGAAGGGCCTATTCGACGACTATTTCCGCTAAAGATATTCTCTTCGGCCAACCAGTCTACGAGACACATCCGCACGTTCTTAAATCAGGTGAACTGACACCTGGTATCACCGCTCAAGAATACCATGAGCGCCGCGCAAGTTTAATAAACAGCCTACCTCCCAACTCTGCCGTCATTCTCCCTTCCGCGACTCTTCATTACCGCTCAGGCGCCGTCTTCCACCCCTTCCGCCAAGAATCCAACTTCCTCTACCTTACCGGCTTCTCCGAACCCGAATCGCTCGCCGTGCTCACAAAAACCGACGGGGTAGATGACTACCTCTTCCACTTATACTGCAGACCAAAAGACCCGAAAGCGGAACAATGGACCGGACCTTGGAGCGGCGTGGATGCTGCGAGGGACGTATGGAATGCAGACCTAGCAGGGGATATCGGACGGGTTGAAAATCTACTAGCCGATGCTCTCAAAGGGGTGAAGCAGATCTACACGGATGCTGAGCTGACTAACAACGGCGTGTTCACAAAGTTTGGCAACCTCTTGAGCTCGGCGGCCCCGAAAGTGAAAACGGCGCCGCTAAAACCCTACGTCAACGCTCTCCGAGCTGTCAAGTCTCCCGCCGAGATAGCTAACATGCGACGCGCCGGACGAGACTCCGGACGAGCATTAACAGAAGCCATGCGACGGCCGTGGAAATACGAGAAGGAGCTCGCCGCGTTCCTAGAATATCAGTACCAGATGTCTGGCCTAGACGGACAAGCGTATATCCCCGTAGTGGCTGGGGGGAAGAAAGCGACATTGATCCATTACGTCCTCAACAATGGCATTTTGAACGACTCGGAATTTGTCCTTGTAGACGCGGGCGGTGAATACGGCACTTACATTGCAGATATAACGCGCACGTGGCCTATATCGGGCAAATTCAGCCCGGCGCAGAAAGACCTATACAATGCCGTGCTACGCGCGCAGCGGTCGTCTGTATCGCTTTGCCGCGCCAGCGCCAACGTCACCCTCGACAAGCTGCACCATATCACGGAGAACGCGCTCCGCGACCAATTGCAGCAGCTCGGCTTCGATGTGAGCGGCGACCGCATGGGTATCCTGTTCCCACACCACGTTGGGCATTATATCGGGCTCGACGTACACGACGTGCCGGGGTATCCGCGTAATGTGGCCCTGAAAGATGGGCACTGCATTACGATCGAACCTGGGGTTTACGTGCCCGACGATGAAAGGTGGCCGAAAGCCTTCCGAGGATTGGGGATTCGCATCGAGGATAGCGTTTGCGTGGGGGATGATAGCCCCCTGATCTTGACTACGGAGGCGGTTAAAGAGGTTGACGATATAGAGGCGTTGAGGAACTAAGAAGAGTACGGAATCACGCCGTAGAATGAGTTACCATCGAAAAGCTCGGAAGAGCCAGCTGTATATTCATGTCGTTCATTGGGAGCGAATTATGAATTATGTGGTATGTGACAATAGACTTTACGACGCGTACGCAAGGGACGCATATGCCATCAAGCAAGGCGCCTAACTGGCATGAATGGTTTATTGTACATTATCCTGGATACCTGTTGGAAGACAGGTAGCCAATTCAAATGAAAGATCACATCTTAACCTTGAGGATTCACGAATACGGTGGCACGTACCTACCTAGGTACCTAGTATCATGAAATTTGTGATGTCCAGGGGGCGACTAGTCAGAACCCACCCCTGAAATTCGGAAAAGGGGTCGCATCTACAAATCGCCCCCGGAACACTTTCAAAAATTCGGATTCCTTATTCCAACCATTTGCAAGAGAAGTACCGGGCTACGGAAAACTGTAATGCATTAGTTTCATACGGAAATCTAACACAATCATAGCGTTTCAATTCCCACGAATTCCCTTTCTCCCGCAAAACCTAGTTCGGAGGGCGAGGAGGAGGCGCGCGCGTTCAAACTTGCCCGCCAAGTAACCCGCATCGTACGATAATCAGCAGATTGGGCCACGTCCGCTTTAAGAAATTCGCTCAACTAGGCAAAATCCGCCTGCCGGAGTGTCTGGGTCTGATGTAAGAAGAGAGAGAGAGCGGATGCGAATAAGAATTCTCAGCTAGGATAGCCGGGGGGGTTCTATTAATTTCGATCGAGATTCAGTCTACCTAGTACGTTATGTAGGTAGGTAGATAGGTACGTATGTAGGTAGAGTAAAAAACAAGTTCTGTCAATGCGCGCCATCTCCCGTAGGAGGCGATAGGTATCATAATTTCAGCAATAAGGTAAAATCCGTAATAGAATTTCCCAAAAAAAATCCACTGTTCGCTCACTTCTGTAGAGCCTCTGAAAAAAATACATCCCCTTTTTTTCTCAGATGGTAAAAAACAAACACAAATTCCCACCTCTTGATTTTCATTCCCTCGTGATTCAGCCCGCGGGAATACCTATGCCCCATAGCGGTTGTGAAAAACTGTATTGCGACTCCTAAACACCATAAATAACGCCATGATTCTGCCCCAGTGGCATTTGTCCCCAGTTTAGAAGGCCATTCATCTAAGTATGCCCAAGGCTCTTACTCCCCCATGATAAAATAGTTTCAAAAAAACAATTCGATTTCTTTTCCGGAACCCCAACGTGCAACCCGTCCATGTATTCGTACCGGACTCCGATGTGGTTGTTTTTCATACAGTAGTGGTATATATACGTTCGCGGCAGATATGTAGAGGACAGGTGAAAGTGACTCAAAAGTGTAGGTGTGAGATTATATATCCATATGGTTAAGTCGGAGGTTTCGTTTCGTGTACTTCGATAACCGAGCGTTCTGAGAAGACTTGAGTCCAGATTTATTCAGGCGGGTTGCGGTTGTTGGGTGTCGTCGCCGAAGCAAAGATAGTCGTGAGACGTCATTATTATGAAGTTGTTGCTAAAATATTTGGCGTATAATTCGATGTTCAGTGGTGTGAGTGGTGATTGTGACTGGGGACAAATAGTTCACGAATAAGTGCGAGATCTTCGCCTAAGAAAAGGCTCGGGGGTTGAAGACAGAAGCGCCGTATCCTTGAGGTGCCCAATTTGGTGCGGGTGCGGCGCCAACCAGCTGTTCGAAGGCATGTAATCGGCGGGCAAGTTCCTCATTCTTTTGTGCCATCGACCGATTCCTTCGCTCAAGTTGATGAATATATTCAGTCGCCTTGGTAAGAACAGTGCCCTAAAATCTAATTAGTGAAAATGTAGTAGTAATGTTGGGCTAGAACGTACCTTGCTGACTTTTGGAGCTGTTCGTGATGCGGTGGGATTATCGTTGTCGTCACCGTCTTCGGGTATCGCACGTAGAGATGGAATAGCATCTCGTAGTTCCGCGATCTTGTCCTTTAGGTTGGTACGATATTTTCTCTCAATATCGTTGTGTGCAGCTCTGTCACTATTTCTTGGCTTCTCCTTAGCCTTTTCCACCGTAGCATCTATCGAATTAGTGCGTGACGGTGCTTGAGGTCTCGTCATTGCTGGCTTAGTCCGGGGTTCGGGTGTGTTGCTCTTGCTATCACTCATCGTCGTCGGACTTTGGTTGATTTCGAATCGGAAATCCATTCCGGCGGGTTGTCTTGTGGTAATTTGTGGTTGGGGAGCTTGGCCTGTTCCCATAGCAATGGCGAGAAGTCTCTGGCGCTCGGGGTCGTTGAACGGAGGGTTCACGTTCACGTAGTCCATTCGAAAACCAGGTTGCGGCTGCTCCCAGCTAAGAGGCGTGGAGTAGAGTCTCTCACGAGGTGGAATGTCTGAGGGGATAGGTGCAGAGTCCGTCTTGCTGAGTTGATCAGCTAAGGCCATGGAGAAGAGGTCGTCTTCGTCCGACAGCGCGTGATCAAGAGCGCTATCGTCGACCAGGTCAGCAGTTGACGAGGGCGGATAAGCCACTTTGAAACTGTTGCCGGGTCTCCCGACAACCCTCGACCTTGGGTGAGGTTGAGCTAAAACTGGGGATCTTGACTATATTTCAGATGGTACATTAGCGCCATTGTTTGCGCGAAGACCTAATATTTGGTTCTTACAGGTTTGCCCTCAGCGAAAATCTGATCACTCTCGTTGTCGCTGTCGAAGCGAAGCCAATAGTCAGAACAGTCTAGAGTAGAAGGGTCCTCAGTGAATCTAGACCTTCTAATATCAGAGCACTGGCGCTTCTTAGGTAGCTCCTGTCCTGTGAGCCTGTGCTTGTGGGAGGGGTTAGAGATGTTCTGCGAAGCAGTTGAGGCCGGTGAGTCGGCGGCAGTACTAGGGGTCTGGCGCGAGCCTGAGGTTGGGACTGAGTTCACAACACTTGATTCGGCAGACCTATCTAGTTCGTCCCAGAAACTAATAGAGGAGAGTTGCTGTGAGTAATCTGTTGATTGATCGAAGAATGTCTCGAAAGTCTGAGGGAATGTTAGGGTCTATTTAGATACAACCGAGGTAGTATTATAGATATAGTAGATCTATATCTATGTGAAATCTAAACGAATGAATGACATCCAGTGACATACCTTGTCGTTACCAGCAGGATAAACGTCAATGTCCTGCATAACACCTGCGTCCATGACGAATCCCACAACAATTCAAGGGCCACCAGCAGGTCTTTTGGTGACACAATAGCTTGATTGCTATGGTTTCTTAAAATAGGGGGGAGAGTCCCGGGGCGGGATGGATGAGTCGGGGATCTAGATCTTGTGAGGTGATGTTTTCGGGATCATGCGAAGTCCAGGCTAAGCTTGGCAAAGATGGAGATGGAGGTGGACGATGGTAGTCGGATTAATCAAAGGGCAAAAAAGCCAGGTTGCAAATTTGCCACGTCCGTTGCCGTGCGTCGTTATACAAATCGGGGCAGTCGGGTAACGTCAGTCCGGGTAGGGGGGATGTGATGTGAGTTGAGTTGTGGTGAAGTTGCGTGTAAGTGTGTATGAAGCCACTAGGCGCAAACTGAGCAAGCCACACTAGGAAGTACAGTATAGTGTAATAGGAAGGATTCCCGGCCTTGATAGGATGGAGAGATATGAGATCACCAATTTGACTGGAATAATGCCACAATGGCAAATGGGATGGTGGTGACGATGATGATGGATGATAAAAATCAAACGATGCTTGAAGAACGAACGATCAGGTAGATAGGATTAGGGTAGTTTAGATCGGTTGGTGCCTTAGTTTATCTAGTCGATTAAGGATTGAGAATAAAGATGGGAATTCGAGAATTCGGCTATTAAAGAATAAGAATTAGATCCCACGAACTATGGCCGAGACCGCCCGACGATGCAAGGGTACAAGTTACAATCGAGACCAAATGGCCTGACACGATGCAGAGCAACGGAGACGCTCAGATACATAATTCCCAACCCGGGCCCCCAAGGGTTCCAATGGCTCCCGATGGGACCCCTAAGGGCGATCCCGAATAGTTACTAAGGAAAAATAATTTATCTTGTCCCCCGTATACGTACGGTATATGGGTAGTTTGTTGTTTGGGCCGCGGCATTGGCGTTGGCATTAGCATTTTAGATGGGGGTTAGTCCATTGCGACTTTATTGTTCCATCAATACATTAGCTTCTGATAGTTTGTATGTATGTATAAGTATGCTGTAGGCATGTATTATGTACACTGTAGGTATGCTGGTATTGGTATGTTGTATGTTACTGTATGCTGTAAGTGCGGTACTCTTTTCCGAACATTTCCTAGCCGCCAACTGTAGGTATCGGTATCGCGCGCCAATCCCCAAAATTGTACATATCCAATTGTACATACGGACCAAACCTTGGAAGTCAGTAAAAATCCAGAAAAATAGCGAACGAGCGGCGGGAAAATGAAGGACCCAAGAACCCTGGGGTAACCAAACAATCCCACGATTCCCACATTATGGGCTGATGGGCGCAGCGGTCAACTCTTCTCTGGTATTGGATTTGTCCGGGTTGCAAAATTTCGTCACAGTTCTGACAGGAAAAAAGGCGAAAAGCGTTGTCATCGGTGCATCGGGGTGTAAAGAATGTGGCCTGATCTTTTGTCTGAATAGAGTCCAACTTCAAGGGGGAGGGCCTAGAATCACGCGTCATGTGGGGTGAATTGCCCAAAGATCAGGCCACTCGCAAGGCTGACCAAAAAAATATCGTATGACATTCGCTTTCCTACTTTGGAAATAAGGAGTCCAGGGGTTCTAGATGCTGTTACCCGCTGTAATTGGCCAAAACCATATTCCCGGGCTCTTCATTGGTTGACCCTCGATGTACTTTGCCAAATAAGATTTCCACGAATCTCTCAGCCTCGTGTCGTTTCCACTTAACCCGTTAAGTTTGCTCCGGAGGAAGCCATGTGCCACATGTCCCGAGGACGATAGAGATTTCCAAGATTATCTAATTATGAGGCATGTGGCGGTTGTGGCTTATGATCTAAGAAACTCCAGACCAAAAAAAGTTACGAAGACACCGAAGATACGTGTATACTCGGTACAATACGAGCATTTAGGCCATTTTTACCATTTTCGTACTCCGTTTTCTCCTCTCGGATCATTTTCGCGGTCACGGACAATCTTACCGGCTACAACATACAACCATACAACAACAAGAACCTTCACGACGCTTCTCACCGATGCCGATGTAAACGTCAGCAATCATGCTTCACAATCGTCCCTTAGCTTATACAATCCATAATTAATGCATTAGTGCTTCTCATTCCCCTCACGTTATGGACGGTGTATGCGTACAGCATATACAGATACACCATACAGCATTGCAACATACAGCATTGCAACATACAGCATTGCAACATACAGCACATACACATTATTGTCCGAGTCTATGATGTAGGTGGACATCGTCAGCTCGCCTGGATGTCTCGAAACTCGGCATGGGCCCCTTGGAATCGTCCAGATCTCGGCAACCGCCTACGCTTTCTATCATAGCCTCACCTGGGCGCTCAACGAAATAGGTAATCTAATCCTCCGCTTTCACCGTCCCCAGAATTGGTGACACCCGGCATTGGTCCCCGTCTCGTCCCCGTCTTATTAGGTAGGGCTCGAGCGCGGTTCCATTGGTTCTTTGCCGATGTTTAGATATTCGGCTAGATCTATTCGATCGTACGATCACAGCAAAATTCTATGCGAGTGATAGCGCGCACGCAGGGTCCTTGCAATTCTTGCCAGTTAGATGTCGCCGTGGAGCTGCATACCCGTCGTTGCAGAACCATACAACCGTTAACACTTACTATACCACCTATAGTAACCAACTCCTTACTATCCTTAATACTATCCTTACTATTGTACATATGTAGAGTGTTATCCCATGGATCTATGCGAACTATCGCCCTAGCAACGCAACCTCGTGAACGATTATTCAGAGGGTTGCCTCCATATACTCTACACGGACCAACTGGATAGAAAACCGGTCAATGGCCGTAATGCCGGTATCTGTAACCGCTTCTAGCGCCGCTCTGCTGGCTCGTCGTGGAAGGCGAAAGAGGTAAAAGAGTCCACAAGGTTTGGGTTTACGCATTGCCCTACCAGGTAGTTTTTCTCCATCTACCCGTCGATCGGTATTGATCGTGATCCTAGTCCCTTCTGAGACATTCATCTACGGAGTCGTCATCTTATCACAACTCCAATGGGCACCTCGAGGCTGCTAGGCGTATCGATTATGTTTCAACCCGCTCGGGCGATGAGACCTATGAACACAAGCCCGAGGCACCGGAGTACGGAATATTTCGTAATATGACAAGCAATTCCCAGGTCTTATCCACGGGATCCACCGCCATGAGTTCGGCTCACGATGCATGCTTCCGCACTTGCAGTTTACTTGTAGACCGGTCTTCTTATCTTGTGATGTCGCTTGCCACATTCTAGACTCCATTTAAATTAATTTCCAAGGTTCCTAATCATTCTGTCAAGTCACATAGCCACACGCGGCGATAATTTTGTCGACATTATCGTATATACTGTAGCCTCGAGTGCCATTATCGGCAGCTCCCGATCCAAATGTATGCGCTCTTAATTTGGTTCGAGCGGCATTTCTCCTCCATATTGGGTAAAAGGGCCGTTGAAGAGGCTTGTTCCCGTGATACCGTAGTTTGCTACAGCCTCATGAACTAGCGCGAACCGGTATGAACGAAACTTATCTGCATTTAATTCCCATGTGAAATTTATCTCTCAGATTTGGTCTATACGAGGCTATACAACGCTGAGATTACGGCTCCGTACAACCTATCAATACATCCAAATTCCGCCTGCCGCGTGTAATTCACATGTAACTAAGTGGATACAGGGTTTTTTTTTTCTCTTCCTTTTTCCTGTGTGGGTGTGTATTTGTGTTTTCAAATTCGCCCCTATTTCCTGGAGGCGACTTATCGCGAATAGTATAGGGGCTAAGGTGCCCCTTTTTTTACTTGACAGTCAAGCTATAGCAACATCAATTGAAACAACTGCGTTTGTAGATTTAAGATCTGTCTATGGATAACAATAGATGAAAAGCTTTCCTGGTATTAATGTAAATAGATCATTCACTCGCGGCTAAGAGTAATTATTGCAAGACAGAATTCTGTGAAACTTTCCGAACCACCTCATCGGCCCCTAAACAAGCTAGTATGAGGTAGAAAAGTTTACATGTATAGCTACCTGAGTTAAACCCATTGGCATAATGCTAAGTAATAGATTGCCAAAGTTCCATTTAGTTCAAGTAAAATTGTTATGGTTGACTGTAACTTTGAGCCCCTGAGTGAAGTCGTGATAACCAAAAAAAACACGACCTACCCCTTATGAACGTACATGAATCTAGTTCTCCTTCGGGCCTGCGTAAGGCTACAATTCCACCGGAATCAGTATTGGAACCTTGATGATCAACACCATGTCTAGAATAATGGATATTCAGGCACACTACATTAGTTAATTTAATATTCCACAAATTGCTTCGCCTTGCAGTGTAAAATCAGACGTCCTGTTGGACATTAGGGGGCGAACACCTTATGTCGGCCGAAAGGATAACGCAATGCCATGACTCCAATGTATACGTTGATGGCGTCGTGGATTCTAGAGGCACGAATCGTACGTGATCCGCGCCTCTCAGACTACTTACTGTCACCTAAGTCTCGATGGCTTCACATTTTTCGATCTCTTCGCTCAATAGGCACTGTTAATAAACAGGAAATAGTAGTAAGCTTGCAGCAAACATGGTCTGACATACTTCAAATCTTCCTGCAGCATATTCCTTCTTAGCCGCTTTAAACGGTCCGCCTGCAAAGGTTGAGACATTCTCCGACATCTCCTTCCGTATTCTGCATCTCCTACAACAACCATACATCTTCAACAGCTCCACAAGACTGCAAAACACTGCAACGACTACTTGGCTGCAAGCAGGAACGGAAATGCATCTGGCTGCAGTCACTAATTCTCTCCTGATCCCCTCAATTCGGAATTCGGGATGCCTAATTGTCGAAGCCGACAGGCAGTTTTCATCGGCCTGAGTAACAACAGACAACTGTCCACAGCCCCTTTTTGCAATCTTTAGAGAGGGGAACGAAGAACTGCATGGCTCGTGCCATTCGTGAGTGCCCAATCACCTTTCCGTGGTTTGTCACAGTGATTGTGTCGATCATTAACTGGAGGGCTTCCCCATAGTTTTAATGAGCGACAGCGTACCATACCAATTGCCGTGGGGCTCGTGGGCGGTTAACAAGTCAAAGAGACGGAGACGAGGAAATTTTCGAACTGTAAATAGCAAAATGATTAGTCCAACCACAAGTTAAGCGGCGACGTGTCTTCACATACAGTGCAAGTATGGAGTCAATGCGATTCCTGCCTCCAGAGCATGGTTCATTCCAAGCATCTCAAGTTGAAGAGAAATGGTCTTCTCCGACTTACATAAATTTGGTTTCCCGAAAGGATTTAATGGGGCTTCCATATATGGCAGAATTGAGTGAAACCTGCATCTAAATATGCAGCCTTGGAGCTAGGCAGTTTGTGAGGCCATCACACTCGAGAGCCCATCAAAGGAAATATCCCCTTCACCAAGATCTTCAACCAAATGTTGTAATGACCGATCTCATACTGTTTCTCAGGAAAGGGTTTTCTCTAGGGCTGAGATACCTCTCATCGGATAGCCGTCAGACCGGCGCGTAGCAACACATCCACCATAAATATAATTATACCTGAGGTTTTAGAAAGTACTTAGATTAAGATGGTCCGTGTAATACCAGACTAGCCAATTATGTTCGGTGCTTTGACGTCGCGTCGATCATTAAAGCGCTTCACTGGACTTTATGAAGGTGTTGCTTTGCGCCAGCCTGCAGAATAGGGGTACGTTATGCCTTAGTAAGTATGACAATGAGACACCGAAACCTACTGGCCGGCTGTTTGCTTTTGATCCACTAAATCCGTTCCGGAGCATCAATGAGCCCAATTGGTTATAAATCTTAGATATATCCACGGAAGCTCGTGACCGGGTTCGGGTGGCTTGCGAAGCCCGGAACGGAAGTAATCTGAGCAAGCGCATGCCCTAGGTGGAGAAAGATACGGGGTAACCGGGAGTGCCTAAACCCCAACTCGGACCTGCCGCGACGCGAAAATGTCGGAGTGTGGGGGAAAAAGCACGCCATTGATAATCCGTAGTACAGAATGAATTACTAAGCCTGTGGGATATAGGTATGACCATTAAGTGGGATATGCTTATCTAAAAACTCGAAACTATTAGGTATCAGGTGGCAAGCAACTAACAAGTATACCTAGTACAATGTTCATTTATTAATTAATTGGCCTCAAGCCTTTCAAGCCGGCAACCGTTTTAAGTTACCTATCGTTACCTATCGTGATACATGAACTAGCTAATACCTCTACGCAAGATGTCTTACAAATCCGGTACCTATACCTACCCCTCACCGTTGGTGGGATACGAGGACGCCCCGGCGCTTTCGGAGGAGAGAAACGAAGACGGGAAGAGCTTCAAGAATCCCGCCAAGGATACTTTGAGTAAAGCTTATACCGAATTCCCGGATCCGCTAGATAAGGGTCGTCGCGGTGGCTTGTAAGTATGTCTGAGATCGAGCATAAAATGATAACTCGCTGACATTAGGGAATTCTTGCCCCCACAGTGACGTGCATATATATTATCTCCAGAGCAATGAGGCTCAAACGAAGTACGCCAAGGAACTATGGGAGCGCATCAGGCATGAGTGTATGTCTTCGTCATAGACCTACCTACCTATATTGAGTACTTAGGTACTTGGGCAAACTCGGAATGTAAAGACTAACCACTGCGCAGTCCCCGAGCTGAGGATATACCGGGTCTGGGACCGACCGATCGGACCGCACCCTGTGGCGATGTTCGAGGTTAATCTCTTCACGCCGGCCCAATTTGGCGCCTTCATCGCTTGGCTCGCTATCTACCGTGGCCCCCTGTCTGTGTTGATCCACCCTAATACGGCTGAAGAAGGGGACCATACCGAAGTCGAGCGCCGAAATCATACGCAGAGGGCCATCTGGATGGGTGAAAGATATCCACTTAATTTGGATATGTTCTACTAGAGCATGAAGCATGAAATGATGTCTGACGACATGAAATAAATGATAGGTATCATTTTGAACGGGATAGATCGGATATTGCGATATTGCAGCAGACCATATTGTTATATGCGAGCTTTATCTACTATAGCTGGTCCGTGCATTAATCTTAGCTTTATCTTCCGCTGACTCTCTCTACTTTTCACAATATCACACCACACGTCTAATACTTCAAGACATGAGTATTCGACTGTGGAATATATGACTTCTTGGCCTCGACTCCAAGTCTGCTATTGCGAAATCACATATGATACACTTGGCAAAGCTGCCTCAATTGAGGCGGTGGAACGCGTGTTGGCACTAAGACCTACCAACACCTGTCTGCCACAGCAGCCAAAATGGACGGCATGTCTCATCCGATCTCCACCAAGACCGTCAAATCCTTAGAATGATTTATACTTCACCTCCTTAGTTAACCCTAGCCTTTTGATGTCTCGATCCCCGAGGCACGAGAATATACGAACATAGCATCGCGGCACCCACGTACTTTTGGATATGCTGACGGTATGGAGAGCACCTGAGCGATGTGATTGGCACAGGATGTCTTGCCCCATCTGTCAGCAACCAGGTAGGTCAGCCAATAGAGTGCGATGGCATCTTTATCCGTCCTCTGTGTCGATTCAAGCTTTCTTCAGCTGCTATTATTAACATGGGTTCGGATGTTAGCGAAGGAGTCGCTTTGCATACAGCTGTGCTATGTATAGATGCGACGGGGGCTAAGTTGCTTGTCAAAGTTGACCCAAACATATCTAATATGCCTATCCGAATCATCTTGCGCCTAAGTTTCTGGTAGATATCTTGATGTCTCTTTTCTTTAATAATCATTGTGACAGCACTTACCTTCACGGCTTCTGTCTTGCTCTACAAAACCGCAACATAGGTAATCTTCGTGGAGATATTCAAGACATCTAAACAAATCTATTTGGACTAAAACATATTACTGAATGTTTCTAGTTTTATGACCTGCATCGAGGTGCTCGGGATGGAGTTGTGAGGACGTGAATCATTTACGATCACAACAACATGTCCGTCAACGCGTCGCACGTAATATTCAGCGTAGACTGGCAGGCGCCGCCACTTTCGGCACTCAACTTCGACCCTAACGATGAAGCGGTCTGCGGACCAGCTGGTGCGTGGAAGGCCGCAACCGTGAGCGTCTTTCAAGGGGATCAGAGTATCATCACGACGAATTATGTCACGGACTATCTGAGGGCGATTCTGCCCTCTAACGAGACGCAGCCGAGCGACTGGGTTCTGTTACATTGGTATAATGATTACATTGTACAGGAGGTCACGATGGACGACACGAATTCTTCTGTCCCCATCCCCGGTTCGCTTCTGGAGAAATTTAGTGCCTTTCCTCTTCTGAATTGCACAACCGACATCTGCAAGAATCTCGATTGGACCGGTGATCCGGACGTCTCAGGCCGAGGAGTAAGAATGCCACTTTCATATCCAATGCGGCACGATATGTGGATGTGCTCAGCTAACAATCTCGACAGATGCTGATTACCTACTATATTGCGGCCGCCCTCGTTACCTTATATTTCTTCGCGCTTACGTTATCCGGTGAGGGCTTCTTCAAACTTCACCTTCCGGCGGGATCAAAGAGGGCTTGGCTGTTGGCAGGATTCGAGGAATCCGCCAGCACATTTTTGGATGCGACGTTGATATTTGCCGTTTCAATGCTTGCCGCTGCTTGTTTCCGATTATCCGAAGCTTTCTTCCAGGAATATGACGATAGTAGCAGCCACTGGATGATTTATGCTTCTATCGGATCTATCTACATGTCGACATTCTCGTCCTTACTTCCCCTATTACTACAGCTATCGGCGCACGGCGTACGGCACCACTGGCTTCGAGTTGTCTTATGGACACTTATTATATTGCTCGGTATCGCCAACGAGGTCCTATACGATTATTTCTTCGGAAAAGCGGAGTTTTACGTGTTTTCTCAGCTGAGGGACCTGCTCGAGAATGTCTGGCTGGACCTATGCAGCCCTATTAAACTATTGGACAACGGCCTCGATCCAACCCTTCGCATCGCCCAAATCTTATTAGTTGTTAATGCAATTTGCTACGTTATTTGGATGCGCCTTAGGGGGAGGCCTGACAATCTCGCGGGGTGGCCAAGGCTTAAGTTATTTTGGCAGAGAGTCAGCCCATACATAAAACTCCTCAATATGTTGCTCTGTTGTTCGGTGATGTGGGCAATGCTGGCATTTTTCCATGTCTACCGAGACAAGGTTAATGAGGCAGCCGGAAGTGATAATCAGAATTCCGACTGGACGTTCGGTCAAGTCCTCTCTGTTGCTACATGGGTTCCTGTTGGTGTGGAGTTCGCTACCGTCCTCAAGTGTAAGTCTCCTTTTTCCTTTCTGCTCCTTAGGCGAACGCCCCTGTTAACACGCCGTAGATGGACCTGAGGAAGGACTCGGCAAGAAAATTTCAAGAAAGTACACCATCGTTGCGAGCAATTCTTTTGACTACGACGAGAAACGAGAGATGCAGTACTCGAGAGTAGAGACCGGACTATCGAACCTTTGAGCCGATCTGAGTAATAGAAATCGTTGAAAGAGAAAAACTGCAAACGGCATACTCTAGTAGATCGAGCCATCTAGTACACCATAGTTATACCCCAAGTAGATACCAAGATAGCAAATTCAATTTGATACCCGTTAATACTTTGAGATGTACATGAAGTCTCATTAACTCCTACAAGTTTAGCGCTTGCGACGACAATACTCCGTCCCGTGCAACCCTTTACCTAGGTATTTATAAACCTGCTGGCACTCATTTAAGAGTAATATAGATGACGTAGTATTGAACCAACCCCTTTCGCGATCTGTAGCTCCGAATTAAAATGAGCTATTCATACATTTTATCGATTTTCATACCATAACCCCGTAAACTTCCCTTGGAGAGCATCTGCCGCCAATTTCGCGGCCCCCTTATTCTGATCTTTGGGAACGTAATACCATTTCGTGAGCACGTCGAGGTCGTCCTCCAACCTGGAAAACGTCATATCCTTATACTGGTCGCCGTTTTTGATAGGTTTGCCATTCTTCGAGTAGAGCGTTCCGTTTTTCTCCGTCCATCCCTTATAGTGCTTGCAAACGTTATCGACGATTTGGATCTTGTCCGAGACGATAATGACTCGGAAAGGTAACTTATCAAGATCATCCTCATCTTCGGAGCTCTCGTCCTCCCAGTCATCGTCGCCATCATCGTCAATTATCTCTTCTGCTCCAACGTCATCAGCACCGTCAGACTTTAGGGCTTTGGGTACACCTTTCGTATCAAGCGCCTCTTTCTTTGCCTTAGCCTTAGCTTCACGTTTCTCCTCCGCAAACGTCGTTAACATCTCTTCGCGATCTCCGAGGATAGAGATATTTAGCATTGTAAGAGCCATGTTGACAGCGGTGAGCTCTGCGCTCTCCGTGTCCACGTTCCGGGGAGATGATACGTCCCCGCAGGGCTGCGCTTGGTTGTACTTGGAACCCTCGCCAAAGAAGACCCCAAATCCGGCGAAGTTTCCTACCGGACTCTTGGACGGCTTGCCTACCGGAATGCTGGCACCGTGAACAAAAATAACGAGAGATGCTTCCATAGCCAAACCGTACCTAACCCCGTCGGATGCATCTTCCCCCATGTTCCAGGAAAGATGCTGTGGATGATGATGGCCCTCCAGTTTGTCATGCCCGACGAGCCAGGTCAACTGACATTGTTCACAATACTTGAATGCGCCTTGCATCATGGGGTCTGTTAGTGGTAGAGGTTTGGGTGGATTATTAAAATCCCATTTGGCCCGTTCTTCCTTCCACGACGGGCCCAGCATTTGTTCGTCCCACTGCGGTATGAAGTAGCGAGAGTCATACAGAGAAAGCATAGGACCTGCCGGGGTCCGCTTGACTACATCCTTTGGATTCCGAGGGTAGATTATATCTTCTAATTGGATGTTAGCACCTTAATTTGTTCAATAATAGTATTATAAATGCGCGTGTATGAGAGAGGGGCGGTAAATTAGACGAAATATATTCATACGTTCCGCAAAGAATTCCTCGATCGCTGATGGGGTATATAAGAAACTATCATCAGAATCATACTCCGAATCATCTTCAGAGTCGAAACTGTTAACGAAATCGCCGAGCCCTCCAAAGGCGGGATCATAGGGACCGTAATCGCCGCCAAGGTGACGAAGCCGAGTAACGGGATCGTCATCAGGGTCATTGAAATCGTGAAAGTCCCAAGCGCGCGACATCCTGTTGAAAAAACTACGAAACAAGTGTCTTAGATATTGTAATTAGTTGATCGAAAATCTTTATCGTCAAAAGAAAAGAAAAAACTAGTAGTTGCGGTGAGCCATCGTGTTTCTGGGGGTTACGGGGGGACGTGCTCAACTAACCTAGGTACCGCCAATACCGCTAAGTAGTACGGTGAGATCTACAGCGTACCACAACCACCAACCATCTAAACATTACCTATCCTATCCTGGAGGCCAGCCGCGAAAAGCAAAAAGGTGCGGATCACACAACGAGCGCCAAGCCCAAAGTCATCCAACGTACAATATTCGAAAAAACCACTTCACTACGTCGTACAACTATCCACAAACTCAACAACCTCCCTATTAAACCGCTCCGGCTCCTCGTAGAAAAGCCAGTGCCCGGAATCGAACACCGACATCCTCGCCCCGCCGGGCCTGCTAGTCTCCACCCGGCGCACCGTCTCCTTCATGCCCTCGAGCGGAAAACACCCGGTCCTCCGACCGGCCATAACCAGCGTCGGCACCGCGATATCCTCGATGGCCTCGCGGTGATCGTACCGCGTATGATCGGCCAGCAGCCTCGCGAGCCAGACCTGGTCGCACCGCTTACTAATCGACACGAAGAACTCCTCGTCGGCGCGCCACGCCTCGTCCGAGATGTCGTCCGTCGACGGGTCCGGCGCGAACCGGTACCCGAGGCACGAGCGCACGAGCTCCGCGTGCGTGGCGCCCGGGTCGTATATCCACGCCCGCTGCGCCGCTTGCATGGTTGCCTCATCGTAGCAGCCCAGGTGCGCGCGCGACTCGTCCCAGTCGCCGAACGGCGACCGGTCTTGCAGCGGCGCCTGGTCCACGAACACGAACCCGGAGAAATCCGCGCTTCCGAAGAGCTCGACGTACGTCCAGAGCACGGCTGCGCCAATACTACATCCCACTCCCACGATCTGCAACTTTCCCCCTCCTCCTTCTTCCCCAGCACCTTGACCGTCGTCACTCGGGCACGAAGCCCGGAGGAACCCGACCAAAGTCCGCAAATCCGCGGCGAGGCGCGCGACATGGTACCCGCCGCGCGAGCGGCCGGAGTTCCCGTGCCCGCGCATATCCGGGGCGACGACCCAGTGGTCGTCGGCGAGGGCGGCGCAGTTGCGCGCGAAGTACGCGCTGGACCCGCTGAAGCCGTGCAGCAGGAGCACGCAGGCGGCGTACCGGGCGTCGAGGACGGTCGCGCCGGGGCCCACGGGCAGCGACGTCTGGAAGGCGAGCGCGCACCCGTCGCTCGCCGCGCACGACGCGTACTGCATCCCCGGCTCCGGGTCGGCGGCGGCGGGTGCGGGTGCCATTATTTTGCTTTTGACGGAAAACTAGGTGCCTAACTCCCTGGGCGCAGGTGAGTGGGTGGGTGGGTAGAATGGGTAACCTAGGTACGTACTTCTGCTAATATGCGATACGAGGTACGGTTTCGGCCGCAATGTGGCGGTGTGCTGTGATATGTTAGATTAAGTGGTCGACGAGAGTGTTCATGTTCGAAGAGTAACGTGATGGAAGTGACGTATATCTTGAGATCGCCGTTTGCGCCTATTTGCAATATCTTGAATGGTGGATATCTGCGGATAGATGAATATTATATGTCTTAAAACCCTTGGAAAGAAACCTTTTCGATTGAACCCGATATATGCATGTCATTTAAGGGGTACTTTGGAAGAAGGAGCACATGTATCCATGCATGGATACAATTTTTATATTTCTGATTTATGACCAAGAAATAAATACTTCTAGAATGATTCATCTACGTTTTTTAAAAACGGTCACAGTTGTATTAGTATAACTGCGTTCTTACACTCCCTTGCATAGTAGGTACATCGGAGTGAGATCCCTTAAGATGCGTTAGTGCTCAACTAACATTGCCGAGGAAGCTCAGAATGAGGAGACGGTCGTTGGGCACCTGAACATGGATTAGAAGGCTCAGTTAGTTGTCTCAACGCAAGGAAGAGTAAGAGTTTATATCATATATTGATATAATGCTCTACAGACAAATAGGCCAAATTGGTCCTAACATAACGGTATATATCCAAGTCTACTCTACTCCTAGTAGCCTCATGATTACTAGCCAATGCATCTATCATCAACGTAAGTAAGGTGAGTGTATCAGCAGCCTGCGTCAGCGTTGGTGTACAGCTCGTCTATATCTATTCTCGGCCCTAGAACTGCCAACAATGCTGGAATGCTTTCGTCCAAGCAGAGATAGTCGCTTTCTCTAGCCTGGCTCACTCTAAGTGCAAAGCATAGTTACAAGAAAGAAAAAGATATTATCATAATCGTTGCTCAATCCATTTCGTAGATCATCGCTTGTTAAAATTTAGGAAGCGGCCCTGCGCATCAACATTAGTAATTGTACTAGACGTAATAAGGATAATATAACTTACCGCAGCGAAGAGAATGATAAGGTTGCTGCCGACGAAAGCTAAGAAAATCCCAAGATCCCTCCACCGGTTATCGAAAGTAAAGCCCAAAGGCTCGTAGAACTGGTTGCCTACTTTGTAGGCGCAGTATTCGCACACATTGGTTGCATTGTCCACAAGGTACCCGGCTCCCTTCTCCAAGTTGAAAAATGCATCCATATACTCGCCGCAAGTCTGGTTTGCAGGCGCGGTAAATGTATTTAACTCCGCTGGTTCGCAAATCACTGGGAGATCGTCTAGAGCTGTAGTCACAGTGCCGCCGATAAGGCGCGTAAAAGGATCCAGCTGATAAAGCCATGCTCGCCAGAAGCCAGGCATCTGCGGGGCAGGGATCGTAACACCGCAGAACAGGGCAAAGGTGATAACGATGAAAGGATCAAATTGACTAGCGACGAATGAAGACTTCGAGATGGAGGCGAGAACTTGACCTAAGGTAACTGCGAAAAGCTCCGTGATCAGCACCATGAAGTATTGGTAACCAGCACGCGAAGCTTCCGACTGGAAACCCGGAATAAAGTAGAGCGGCAAGAAGAAGCAAACGGAGCAGAGGATAGAGTAGGGAAGCTCCGCAACCACCATTGCAAGTGTGAAGGTAAACGAGCTGTACATCTTGCTCGACGCTTCACGGAAGTAGATGGCTCGTTTCTTGACGAACATAAGCTCAACTTGAGGCATAAGCAGCGCAGGCAATACGGTAACCTGGAACATAACGAAGACCTTGTACTGTAACGAGGATCGCGAGTAATCAAGATTTAGGTATGTTAGACCGGTGAGAAGAGAGATGGCGATATGGTTAAAGACTCGAGTAAACAGATAATTTGGGGATCGCCAGAATGAAATATTGGTGCGCTTCATGACAACTCGTAGCTGATGCATTAGGGGCGAGGCGTATTCGCGTTCTAGAGATAGGTCAATTTTCGCAGCGGCCTCTTTGCGAGCTTCCTTGAACTGGGAGATCGTGTCCTTAACATTAGCAAGTTCAGGGCTGTCGTTCCAGATATCCGCCCAGTCACGGTTTCCAACACGAGGAGTACTTCCGGCGCCAATTGCCTCAAGCATGAATTCAGCGATGTTGTCGGATGGGCCCGCAACTGCACCGTGCCGTGCAAGATAGTCTCGTAGAACATGCGCATCGTGGCCGATATTGCCGAAATATACACAGCGACCTCCTCGTTGTAGCAAAAGTAGTCGGTCGAAGTTCTCGAAAAGAGCGGCGTTCGGTTGGTGAATAGTGCAAAGGATGGCTTGTCCAGCGGCGGCGAGTTTCTTCAAGAACCGAACGATATTGTAAGCGCTCTGACTATCAAGACCTGAGGTAGGTTCGTCTAAGAACAGCAAGAGTTGAGGCTTGGCGGCTAACTCAACACCAATTGTCACTCGTTTGCGCTGCTCAACAGTAAGGCCAGCTTCGGGGGTACCAATGATACAGTCTGCAATGTATTCCATCTCCAACAGGGCGATGATCTCTTCCACATAAGCATATTTCTCCTCACGGGGAGTCTCGAATGGTTGGCGTAGGTCGGCCGAGAATCGTAATGCTTCGCGAACGGTCTGGGTAGGGTCGTGCATATCGAGTTGCTCCGCATACGAAGTGGACCTTTGGAATTCCTTGCCTGGTTTAGCACCGTCAACTAGAACGTCACCAGTGATCACACCAATGTTCTTCCTTGCTGCTAGGACATCCAGTAACGTAGTTTTCCCGGCCCCGGAAGCACCCATGAGCGCAGTTAGTTCACCAGGCTTGCAGTAACCATAGACATTATTCAGCAGGCGGCGAGTTCCTCCGGCGACTGGGACGTCATAATTGAGATCCTCCCAAGTTAGAATGCTAGTAGAGTCGATCTTCAAAGTGGTGTCCTCTTCCTCCTGCTTTGACTTTTGACGTTGTAATCGCTTGTTGGTAAGGGCCTCGTTCAGTCGTTTCCTTTCGGGATCGGGTTTTGCAAAGACCTTCGCCTGGTTTCCACCCATACCATATTTCACAAACTCGCCGAGAACGACGTTCATGACGAGGAAGAATACGATAATAGCCATGATAATTCCAAAGTTTCTCCACAAGTCGGAGGGAGCGTAGGAGAAAGCGTTAGTGATGTAGGCACCGCCGCTCACCGTCGCGGTTCCAGGAGTGGAGCCAGCAAAATTGCATACTTGGTGGCTGATGTTGCCATACATAGGGCCAGAGGGAATAAGAGATTCATCCGAACATGTCAATTCGTTATTCCCAAACTCGTTTGCCATCATACTAGAAAATGCAAGTCCCAAAGCGTTGATCCAAAAGATCCACCGTAGCCAAACCTGCTGCGACTGATACTGAATTAGATACCCCGAGGTCAGGGTAAATAAGGTAACTGTGACGACAGCGAACTTGATAGCATAGTCGAAATCGGGGCTCAGGCAACCAATGATACGGAAATAAAGTGTCATTGCGATGTTTCCGACGATAATTAGCAAGTAGAACGTGAAAAAGGCTCCGGGTGTCCTGTGCAGGTTGGTCATGAAGTAGACAATGATCGAGAACACTAAGATCCGAACAGTCGAGAACGCAGTATCCACGAATATCTGGGCTATCCACAATGCAGAGGGTCGATGGAACGTGTACGCCTTGTGCTTGTTCACAATAGGTCGGCCTGTCATCGTCGATCCTAATTCGGAGAAGGCCTCAAAAGCGTTAAACAGGAGAGAGATGAACAGAAGACCACCTTTGCTAAACGCGCTAGCCGTGGTTTGTTGTAAGTTCAGGTAGAGAGTCCCGAGAACAATTGCGATGACGATAGTTCGGATCCAGGATAAGGTGAGACTGAGTTTGTCCTGAAGCTTGAGGGCAAACTGACGCTTCATCAGGGCCCAGACTTGTAGGTGGAACCCAACGCTATAAACGGAGTGTTTGGCGCCACTTCGCTTGCTCTCGAGTACCGCTGTGCGGAAATCATCGTGGCGGAGGATCTCTTGCTCATGCTGCAGCTTAGTTTTGTATTCAAGCATCTCAACGTTTAACCGTTCGTTTAATTGGGATTTCTCGAATGCTTTGGCCAGCGTATCAGGGCTATGCGGGGCATTCTGCGGCGAGTACCCAGGGGAGTATTGGCGTTCGAATTCATCGGTGCAGCCAGTCACATAGTCGGGAGTCGTCTGTCGTGGACGTGGGAGGAATCCAAGACCTTCGAAGTAGGCTCGCGCTTCGGAAGCCGGGCCGAAATACACCTGCTTACCAGCATCAATAACCAAAACCTTGTCGAATTGCTTGTAGATGTTCTCAGAGGCCTGATACAAAGAGACGAATGTAGACGTCTTGTAGAGGTTGGTCTGAATTCGAAGTGACTTGCAAAAATCGAGGCTTGTGCTGGAATCGAGACCGCGAGTACTTTGATCCCAAGCCAGAATACAAGCATTGGTGATCATCATCTCGGCAATAGAGACACGCTTTCTCTCCCCACCCGAAACACCACGGGTTAGAGCATCACCAACTACCGTCTTTCTCGTGTGCTCGATGTTAAACATTTTCAGCAACATCGTGATTACATCTTCTTTGAACTTGTTCTTCGTGGTGCCTGCTGGGAGTTTGTTGGACACCTTAGTATCCAACGCAAAGCGAAGAGTCTGCTCCACGGTCAGAGTAGCGTGGTGGATATCGTCCTCCTGGTTGTAGACTGACTCGCCACGGTATTGTTTGAACTCCTTAGCCGTGAAAGGTCCGTAAAGGACATCACCCGTAACACTTGTGTAGCCCCATCGTTGATTCACAATCGATTTTAGAAAAGTTGTGCACCCAGAGCCTGGCTTTCCTAATACAAGAACCATTTCGCCGGGATTGACGACGCCCTTGAAGTTGTCCAACAACGTAACCTCAGTCCCCTTCTGACCTTTACCAAGTAGTTTCATCAATGGGGTCCAATAGTCAACAAAGTCGATGAAGGCATCGGGAAACGTTTTCACAAAATTAGCCGTGCCGCCCATACCCTTAACCGTAAGTCCATCCCAGTAGACACCGATGTGCTTCGGTTTGATACCCGCCTCTCTCTCAGCATCCAGATCACCTCGTAAAGTCGTCTCTAGGTCGAATATCTCGACCGAGTCATCAGATCGCTGAGAAGTAATGCTTGCTTGGCCTTTCTCAACATCGGTTTCTTTCCTGCTTCGGGTACGACTTGCCCGAGATAATCCAGATAATTCCCTCTGGAGCTCGGCGAAATCGGCCTCGGCTTGTTCAACCGAAACGCCAGTGTTGACGCGCGAAAAGCCATTGGGGTTGTTTTGTCTAGCGACTTCGCGCTGCTCCTCTGGATCTACCGTCGCGGTAGAGTTTGAAGATGGCGGCCGCGTACTTTTGGACGAAGGGGTCGACTCATACTGTTTTTCGGGGTCCTGGTCTGCCATGATTGCGACGCAATAAGTTGCGCTGGCGCTACCCACTCAGCCGTGCAACGTTTTTCAGCATACACAGGTATCGTATTGGGCGCGCAATTGGTCGGGGATTATACACCAAAATATAGTATCAGTTGCTGTGGTGAAGATTTGTCCGTGTCCGCCTCAGAAAAGAACAAATAAGAAATCCTGTGCAGCTTAAGCAGCAAGAGTCGACCACCCAAGGAAGGATCAGAAACCAGCAAATCCAAAGAAAGATGCCGCCTTTATCAAGACTTCCGCGAAAAGGAGAAGACCACGGAATATTAGAAAAACAAATGTACGGTGAAGGGAAGGGCGTATAATAAAATAATAAGAAGGCGAAAGTATGGATTCCGTAATAGGAAGTGCGCGGCGGCTCAAGCCATGACCTGAACTTTTGGCTCTTGGCAACTGGGTAGGATTATCAATCCGTCCATTTCGTTCAGTCAATCCACTCCAAAACGAGAACTAAGAACCCTCCCGCATGGAAAATTCCTCTCAATTCTGCCCCCCGTCTGATATCTTTGATGAGTGGAGCATGTTTTCGCGTAACGGTAGCATTGGGCAATGGGCAAGAGTTCCCAGCTCCACCATACTTATTACCGATAAGTACATAACCCGCAAAGCCTGTTTGGACGACGGGGGTCAGACGGGGTATGGGACTAGGTACCTCGAGGGTTCCTTCCCGGGGCACACAAACTAGACCGGTCGACGATGCCGGGACTAACACAGTTCAGGTAGAATGGAAGGCGTTGACAACCTTCTACCCCACTTCTCCCTAGTAGCCTCGAGGTCGATCCATCTGTATCATTGATGTACTAAAGTATCAGCATTGCATCATGTTTCTGCTTCATTCTCCTACATGGTTTGAACCCTTGAGCCGGGTAACTCACATTGATGTGGGTTGAGCACATCCTTCCACACCCATACATCTTCTGATGTAAGGGACGCTAGACCTCGACATCGATAGTTCTGACAAAGATCATGCAGCAGACCATAGTCTCGGTATTTCTGTCAGTCACAGACGAGACGTGGTAGAGTGGGTGCATAGACTGGCCCAGGTAGGTTGGAAGTGAGAAACCAGGCGCCAGATGCGCGGCCTGCGTGGTGTCTCGATTCTTTTCAAGACGAGAAACACCCTATTTGTCGGCTCTTGTCCGGTTACCGTATCCGAACCCGCACTCCGACTTTGTGCATCTCGGAGCCTCGTGGAACCCGTCCAAGCTGCCATTTCATGGGTGTCGCCAAGGGTAGCACGTACATAAGCCGCCGTCCCATGGGTCTTCTCCATAGGCCCGCCATCATTTCGACTCATCCGACTGAAGGGCGAGGCAAATGAGGGTCGTTCAGTATCATTCGGGGTTACATTAGACGCGTTGGGTGCAGAAGGCGAGCTTATGTACCTACATAACGTGCATATATACGCATGTATTTGCATACAAAATGCCCATATAATACAGTATCTGTGCCGTGCAGGGCCGTATTGGCGGGTTCGGTAAGCCTTGGCCTGTCCGATTCAACCCTTGATAAGGCCGTGTTTCACAATACTACCTGAGTAGTATTTTGCCCCCGTAGCGATCATTCGCTTATCCATTGGATCCCAGACTCGGCTCTTAATCACCTCATCTCGGGTTCGGAGGGATAGAACTTTGCGAATTTACATAATCCATAGTCGTCCGAGGAGACTCGGGATACCTAAAGCAAATACAACTAGTTCACAATGAACTCTGCTTTGAAGTTGTGGATATGAAACGCATTGCTGGAATATTTGAGACTGAATGTCTAGAATATCGCCTAATGTTGTGCTTACATAAGCTGGATTTAGCTGATTGGGTTAGGTCTTAATACAGATAGTAAGCATGCGTGGATACCAAAGAAAAAAAAGTCTCCGACATCATTCATTCACTACACATACATAGATGCATTACTGCGTAGTAAAGTCAAACAACCTGATACATCCTCATATTATCGTACGTGTGCAGTCCTAGCATCTACTTAATCTAGTCCACCATCTCAGGTCTTTTGATATTTCCAGTGTTGCCAGCGTATATAAAAGCCTCAATCCCGGCAAGTCGTTCATTGGTGTGATCTATATAAATTCAGGTATGTATAGTCGATGAGACATAAAACTGACTGACCCCAACTTACACCTCGCATGACTTATCCCAACTTTCAAATGCTGCAGCATACATATGCCGTGGAACTTGACGCCTCAATCCGACCCAAGGTCCGCCGTCCTATAATAGACCGCCATTATCTTGTGGTAACATGGGACCATGGATGCTTCTTCCCTGTGCCCGGTATGACTAACAAGCAAACCAGCCTGCCAGCCTGCTCGCGGTACGGTATATCTCGATACCTAAATGTGGGATGGAATACTGTATATAAGAGTTGCAGTTGTCGAGGCTCGGGGATCGAGACTCGGGGACTTATTGTAATATCATTTCAAATAATCGGAATAATCGCCCCGTCCCGTCAGAGTGAGCATCATTCACGTGACTCCCTCTCGGCATCTAGATTTGGACGTCCACTTGCGCAGTAGACCGCTGAACCGGTTAGTGGGGGTGTTTGTACTACACAGGTATTTCGTAAGAGACCAGGAAGACCCGCACTTGGTGGGGCTTAGTGGAGAGACGGTGGATAGAGTTGGAGAAGAGAAAATTCCGTGATTGTTCCGTTCGTATTATCACCGCACATCTTTTCATAGACGTTTTCAACAACAGCCAGTCATATTTAGAGAAACTTTACGAGGGAACGTTTGTAGTGGGTGGTTCAATTGTTTGAGGGTATTCCTCCGACTCGATATAATTCTTAGCAAGAAGTCTAGCTCATGACTCGCTTCCACTAGCATCTTCATCGCTTTTTACACCCATGGATAACATCAGTGAGGACCATGGAGATACTACGGCTATCCGTCTAATCTCCGTAACATCCTTGTCGCAATGAAAGTTCTATTAGATCTTGCGCGGCCTATCAGTCTGGCAGTCTAACTAGCTCCAGTCCTTGAATAAGCTGTAGACTCCAGACCACCTCTACCATAATTCAATAATTGATCACCATGCATAGTACCTGCCTGAGAAGATACTCCGACTATTTCTTAATGAAGCAACTAAAGAGAGAAATTCTGTTTCAGCCATATACCAGGTCTATCTTGGCAACAATATCTTGGTTTACACTACTCGGCCATACCTACGGATGTATTTAGGTATCTATGTAGGTATCTGACGTACTCGGACGTGTGGATGGATTTATTACGGCACTCGACAACAACCTACGAGAATTATCAACTCCCCGGGGTGTTCAGTGTTAAGTGTCAAGTACGACTGAAAATAAAATCAACGACTCGAACTACATGTCCACAAAGTCTCATCTCATATGCTCCCATCCGAGTCCAAGTTTGTTACCTATCCCCCTTCCCCCTTGATGCTGATCAAGCTACAAAGAAAAGCCGGCCTAGACTAGGAACATCAAATTGTTTGCCAACGCCGGCCATGCAAGGTAAGAGAAGAAGAATAGGGGGTTTTCATTTCATTCCTTTCATTCCGTTTCCTATTTGGTATCGCGAACTAATCGTCTATGCCGTCTAATTCCCTATCGCCTGAGACAACGACGAGTACATAAAGAGTAGAGGTGGAAGAATGATGATCACAGCTCCCTAAACATTTCATTATGTTTAGTCAGAACAGTGACCGATCCGCTGTTTAGTCTGATTTGAGGTGCAGAAGCATATGAAGTAGGGTTGACGGCAGCGCCACCACTGCCGACCGGGTCACTGCTAATAGACACTTCTTTTTCCTAGAGTTCGGACTCTGCACCGTTCGTCTCCAACGCCATGGGGCTTCCTCCCTGGCCATGTCGTCTCCGCGGCCGTAGTCTTCGCACGGGCCGTCCATTAAGATTCATGCTTTCGTCGTCGTCCTCGCTGTCAGGGTTATCCTCCGCGTAGCGCCGTGCTTCGTCTAAGTCGGTAATATCATCTGGTTTGTCCCGTAGCCACTGCATCCTCGGACCTGATCGTGCAACCTCCGACACGCGGAAACCGTAGATCCGAGGCTCGTAAATCTTGCCTTTGCCTAAGCCGGGTGCAATGTTGCATGTGTACATGCCGTTCAGCATATCCTTATCATCATCACTCACGCGCGCGTTCGCAAGCACATCGGCCCCTCGTTTCGTAAGGTCATATTCGGGGAAGGTAAGGAGAAACAGAGCGCCGAAGGTTCTGCCGAAAAAGGCACCGTCGACGGTCTGGAATCGACTGTTAGGGGGTACGTAGACGTCGAGGCACGAAGGGCAGAACAGCTTCACCGTCTCTTCGCCTGGTATATCGGAGAGGCCAACGGGGAGAGTTCGGGACAGTTCGCAATGACTACGAGGGCAGACGCCGAAATGACCTAGCTCATACTTCTCCGACATTAGTTGGATCCCTGCCCGTGAACAGATGAAGCGCTGGTGAATAAGACCGTAGAGCATCTCCGCGGATGACTCAATCACGGAGAGGTCGCTCGCTATCCGGCTATGGTTACGTCGTTCGCCATGTCGCACACGGTCGACGCCCTCGATTGATTCGTCTTCCTCATCCTCGTCTTCCTCGTCTTCTTCGTCATCGTCTTCGGGTTCGACATCGAGTATCATCTAGGGTAATTATTAGTGGAGACCCATATAAGGGAGGAATTTTAAAAACTTGATAGAAATTCCAAAACAAAATCCAGCTTACCTCCAATGCCTCCTTGTACATGGCAACTTGCGTTTGCAATCCAGTTAAGTTGAAATCATCCTCGATGAACTCTTCGGAGACCTCTGCGAAATACTCGTGGCCCAAGAGGGAGCAGAAGGAAGAGATCCAAGACTCCGGGGTGCCTGAGGAAGAAGACATTTTGACAGGAGATAAGTGAGCGCACGGGTTCTAATCGTCGGCTTCGTCGAATGAATTACAATGATCTGGGAGCGACGATGGAGGTGTAGTGTTGAAGGACCCCGCCAGACCGTCTGCTTCTCGTGGTTGGGAAGAGAGAAAAGCTACGGCACCTGCATGGTGCGGAAGAATAGCGAGGCAAAGGAAAAGAGGGAAGGACGGGAATAGAAAAGTGGAATTAACTATTCCCCTGAGGAAGTTTTAGCAGATAGATAGTGTCATGCAATGGTGAACCAATATTGTGAAGATTAAGCGGTGGTGATGGTGGTGATGCACATGGATGGATGAAGTTTTGGCGGGGATAGAAGAGGAGCAGTGGGAGAGGCTACCAAAATTAGGATTAGGGATTAGAATTAGGATTCAGCCCAGTCTAGCCCAGCCCAGTTCTTGCCAGTTGCAGCCTGCGGTTGGGCAGTTGCCCGAACAGCCAAAGCCAAATTCCATCTATGGGGTACGTGGTCTGTGCATTGTCCCACCAAATACTGACCTAGGTCAGTTTTAGGTAAGGTGCGGATTACATAACATGAAATGACTTAGTTGTTCATCCAATATCCGTCTTTCCATTATTTGCAACACACAATACACCCAGCCAATTCACTTCATAAAATGACAACAAATCAACGGTTTAACATGCTCTGAATAGAATATCATTCTTTCGCTTAGATATTTCCGATTACCTTCTTCAGATGCTCTCCAGTCTCAGACTCATACGCAAATCCGGACTCAACTCACACTTGGCCTCATTCGGTCATGTCTCTCACCGCACAAAGGGGCCATCCCGATCTCAGTCGACATTTACCGACAAACGGCACCATCTCGGTGTGGAAACGGTAGAAGGAAAGATCGACATAGATTCCTTTCGCAGAATCGCGTGGGATCTCAAAACTCCGTTACTACTTCGAGCCTCTCACAAATTCCCGGCCAATGAGAAATGGTTCCAATTCAGTGAATCGGGATCCTACCCCAGCTTTTCACCTTACTTCCTACCCTTTGCAGATAGGATCTTTCCATATGAGTTCACCATTTCCCGTACCTCTCCCCACAGTATGTCGGGTTCGGAGCATGAAATCTTATCGGATTTTCGGGAATGGCTTCTTAAACAACATGAGGATAAAGAGCCTCCACTGACTGCGATGGTCGAAGCCGTAGTGAAGTCAATAATTACTGAAGCGAGCTATCGTCATAGTCCATCTAATTTCCAACAATTCGATGCCCCAATGGCTCTGATGATGGCCGCATGTCAATTCAATGAAAACAAGGACCCCAGCAAGCGGTTGAAGAACCTCTATGTAGCCCAATCAGATCTAAGTCACCTACCCGAGCCTCTCTTCGCAGACTTACCCGTGCCGGACATTGTCAAGCGCGCTGGTAAGGGGGACGTGTATAGTTCCAGTATTTGGCTTGGTTTGCAACCGACTTATACCCCTCTGCACCGTGATCCAAATCCGAATTTATTTTGTCAACTGGTCGGTTCCAAGAGGATACGTCTCATGGCACCAGATCTTGGGGAAGGTGTCTATATTCGCGTCCGTAAGGAGCTCGGCCTAACCGGTAGCTCACGATTACGAGGCACAGAGATGATGGGGGGCCGCGAACGTCAATTACTTCATGACGCTGTTTGGGGTGATGCGTCTATCAGTGAAGTACTCGTGAATCCTACTGATGCCCTGTTCGTCCCTATGGGTTGGTGGCATAGCGTTGCTAGCGACGGTATAGAGGGTAACTTGAACGCCTCAGTGAACTGGTGGTTCAGATAAACTTTAAAAGCATTGTGAATAGGTACTGTTAATAAAAGTGCAGGTGTTCGCAAGTATGGGGAACCGAATTGGGCAACAGAAATCTCAATATTCTTTTCAATCCACCTTTCTAAGATCCCCAAGGCATAGATCCTGAACGCAAGGCATTCAAACCCGACTCTGACCGCAGAAAGGGGTGCCGCAATATGAATTTGGAGGCGATGAGGGCGATAGCAGCACCGTTGTTACACGAGGATCTCTACTTCGATCTGCTCAGAACCACGGTACATATATCTTGTAGAGACCATGATCTGTTCATTGCACCGTTTTACGTCCAACTACCAGCTGACTCACCTACCTCCATTCACACTTAAGTCGAGCTCCTAACTGAAAGTTATGTTCTGGCAATAGCGACATGAAGATCATGATGAGCCCCTTTAAGCACGATTTCGAGTTGGACACATCTATCCTCAGGCACGCCGTCTTCGCTGCTTGCCTAGAATTATCAGTACCCTGTATAATGATATGTTTTCCATTCGGGTGTCCAGGAATTACTTCTATCGGATCTCCAACATCATCATTAAGTACTAGCGATAAGATAAATAATATATTACCTCATCAGTCCCGTTCTCACATCTCAAGTGGCCGTATGTTGATTCATTATATTTGTTCCGGTCCGCCACAACGACAATAATGAGCAAAAAAAAAAAAAAAAAAAAAAATACACTCTTCGCATGGACGAATATTTCACAGACATCTCACTGTCGCACAAAAAGCAAAATGCTTGATCATATCAGATGAAATGTTATCATTGGCTTACTAAATGGTGTCCTCACTATGAGATCATGATCTGCCGCCAGCCGTTCCGGAACATAACCTCCCATGCTGAAACTCATCATGACGGCAACAAACCGCTACAATAACGAACGTAGAATTCATTATTTATAACCGCAACATAACTAACTATGCGTCAAATTATCTTTTCACCAAAACCACAGTTCTTCTCCCCATCGTCTTCTATAGCAATTCCAAAGGTAGTAACGAAGACAATGACCGACCAAGACAACTACAGCGACATTCAGCAGGAAGTCCCCGCGGACGCTGATATGGAGAAAGACCCGGAAAACGTGTACCGGGGCCACAAAGCCACCATCAGTAACCCACGTAAGTTCTTCTTTCCAGTCACGAATTGAATGTTGATCGGACTCGCTTATGGTGTTAAAGGGACTTCGCAAGCCGCGAAAGAGCATTCCCGAAAAGTTCTAGAGAGCGAGACTGGCGAGCCCACCGATGCTTCGAACAACGTTCGCGGAGTCGCCCCAGGCGCGGAGGCGCAGGGAGAGCAGAAAGATCCGGCTAACGTGTAAGTTTTGCCTGAACCATATTGAGTAGATAGTGAGATTGGGAAGCTAAGATGTCATTGTTATTAATGTGCGTGGGTTAAAGGCCAGTATCAACAACCAGAATGTGTCTGATGAAGCTAGGGAGAAAGCAAAGGAAAAATTGAGTGATCTTGAGGCTTGAAGAGAGAGTTGGCCATTAAAAGCGTTGCCAGGGATTGGTTGTAATGTTCGCTCATTATAGTGCTCGTTAATTGATGCTATTTCCATGTATAAATATGAACGTGAATACAGTGATGAAATTTCTTGTGACATAAATTTTTATATTGTTTAGGTAAGATTGTTATGGCATGGTTGACAACATAGACTAAGTGTTATTAGGTAAATAATCATTACCTATTCTCACACTTACAAGCAGCTCACGACTCCGGCCTTATGTTGATGGTCACAATGTGTAGGCACATAACTACCGACAACATCTCATGAACACACACCAAACTATCATCTCTAATAATATCCCACAACATCTAAGGAACTAATGGGGGATTAAATAAAATATTTCAAATAACATCTACCATGTTCTCATCAAGTGCTATCAAAATCATTCCACCAAACCCATTTGTTCGTCACTCGGCTCCTCATAAGAACCCCCAGGCTTCTTGCCACGAGTTCTCTCCTTCAACGCGTTCTTCTGGTCAATAGCCTCGGCATCATCACGCTCTGTCGAGGAAGTGAGTTAGCGAACTTAGAGGATCTAACGGTGCATGGAGAAATTCTCAGATACCTAGTTGTTTGTCGGAATCGGCAGTTGTAGAATCAATAGGATCCTCAACGCGCTCAGTATCCTTTACCACCGGGATAGTTTCACTATCTCGGCCTTTCGTAGCGTAAGATTCATCGTAAACTCGTCCCTCGGGAGCTTCTGCGGAGACATCTCCAGTCCTGTTTCCGGCTTCGTTCTTCGGCATGGTGGATAGCTTTTTGGATGGGAGTACAGCAAAGCAGAGTTTATGATTATTGCTTGTGAGCAGCTGAGGATTCAGTAAGTCGATGCTGTGATTGACCTACCTGTGGACATTGACCGTTCTTATGTTTATTTTGGGAGACGTTCAACATGTCATCGATTAGATAATCATGACAATGACATGATTGCACTAGAAGTCCTGGGAAACACATCGTCGCGTCATAAGAAAAAGCACCATGTTGGTAACGAGAAACATGTCTTGATCAATATCGACGTCACCTGGGATGAAAGCAGATAGTGAAAAAAGGAAAGAAAAAAAAAACCAAACAACATTATGTTACACATAGATTCTCTCTCTTGGGAGATCTCTGTGCATTGGATTGCATGCTACATGGCGATTCCAAATCTTTGAACGACTACGACATGTCTCATATACGCAAATATATCGTCACCTAACCTTCCGACTGCGATCAGTCCCTTATCTATCTATCTAGAAGCAATTTATCAAAGCATTGAAAATCCCATGTTGTCATATTCCCATCTCATGGCATGCTAGAAGGTGACGGTGCTTATTATCGCAAGAGTTCTCTAGTTTGAATTCATGTCGTAGTTGGGGCAACACGTACTACGTAGATTGTCTGTCAATACAACTTATTTTATAACTTATTAAGATGAAAGCTTTTAGAGTCTTGAGTGATGTATATTATGCTGTAGCTCGAGGGGAATGGCGAAGAATCCTCCCCATAATTCCACATTGAGGCTCATAATTGACTTCCACCGTCTAGGAATAGTCAACTGTTCGTGAAGAGGAATTTAGTTTAAGCAGTGCTGATGCTATATGAAAGTCTATTATCCTCATATTTAGGCGGATACGTCAATGTACAGCCTGACTCATAACGTCTTTATTAATGACCTAGCTATGTTTCACCCGCCCTACCTAAGGAATTTGCGCTTCGTAGGGAGGGGCTATGCCAAGGAACGTAAGCTGCATGTATGAGGTACACGTACAGGCACGCATGCATATGTGCCTGGCGCTAGATTAGATCTAGATAATACTCTAGTTCTCGGTAAATTGGGACCGCAACGGTATCATATAGAGTGGTACTATCCGCATGGTGCTGTTTTAAGCACAGAAAGTTCAGAAGTGTTTGCATATTTGGGATCATACCCCAGATTGTGGTGGTTATATGTATGTGCAGGAACTGACTTCCATGAGTTTGAAGGTATGCCGATCCGTGCTGTCGTGGAGGCTGGGAGGCTAACCAAGTTCGCTGTAGGCGGCCCTTTCTAGCTGCTAAGCTAAGCTGCTAGCATTACTTAGTTTGTCTAGTACGTCCCGAAGCGGCAGAAGACATCGGGGAATCAGTCCCCTGAGTCTCATTGGCTATAGCGCCTGCACTACAATTTATGTAAGGCTTCGCACAAGCCCTTACAAGGAGCTTGCTAGGGCGCTAGGGCTTGAAAGGAAGATAATTGGCAGAATTCTAGTGGGTGGAGCCTTGAACTGGGCGTCTTTTGAGGCCTAAGTATTAGGACCTCGGGACGTATGTACGTAGTACACTATTCCTTCTCGAAGTCTTTCATCCCGAGGCCCGAGAGGGTTGCTTTTCGTCTAGACCTACCCGTATATGTGCCTCCGTTTAGGGTTCTCGTACCGACGACTCGGCACGACATGGGTCGCGATGAGAGTGGTCCCAGACACCTCTTGGGCTACATATAACAGTACCGGGGGCCAAGTCCCGGCTGTGCCACTTCCGACATCGTTCAGTTCTTGGTACGGTGAAAAGGAACACCAGCATGCTGGGGGGGATTAGTCAGAACTAAACTGATTATATAATTATTGTTGAGGGTGACATATACTGATATTATATATGTAGGAGAAAGGAATTCTGGAAATTTTTTAAATTATCAGAGGTGCAAGCGGCGGCAGGATCCTTCCATAACGACATAACCTGCATGGCGGGGAAGTGATTCCGGACCAGAAGACAAGGTATGATGCGTCAAGGCGCTAGCGGTTTACAAAGCCTCGCTGACGCGAAGAATCGCTGGTCTCCGTATGAGTTACCATGGCCACCATGGCTAGCATGGCCCACCATATTCATACCTTAGGCAGGTAGGTTAGTTACCGTATGAAGGATCAACTAAACTGCTAGATTGGGCACCGGACGCGACCCCGAATTCCGAAACGTTAGCAGCTTCTGCTCTACGTAAGGAGACTAGGGCCTTCTTCGGCTTCACCCCCGATGCCAGAGATTCAGGGACCATGGCTGCAGTGCATTTTTTCCTTCTTCTGGTTTCCTTAGTCTTCTCTATGGCGCCATTAGTGGGCACATACTGCAGTTTAGGGGACTTGTGGATTTGAATCTGAAGATTTCTTTTCTTCTTCATTAGATGCTATCTTGTAATGTGCGTATGAGTAGTTAGGACACGCCACAGGGGTATAAGTAAAATGTAAGGCTAGTCATTACATAGATCATAGATGCGCGCTAGCATGCAAAACCAAATCGAACACCGGTTCCCTCCCAGATGCGCCATCCACAAGCCTACTCGATCGTCTCCTCCACCGTAACCGCAGTTACGGTCACTGCCGAGTTGATGTTCGCGATCGCACTCCAAGGGTTTTGGCTATCTTGCACGAACCAGTTCATCTCGATCTCTCCGCAGCACACGATGTACATCTTTGGTTTGTCGTCGAAGTAGTATAATTCGACTGCTGTCGGCGATGCTAGGCTTCGCATAACAACACTCGTCGTGGCCTTGCCCGTTTCGGGGTCGACGCTGACTTTCCATACGTGCCCATCCATATAGCTGACCGTGTAAACGGAAGTTTGATCTCGCGACAGGGTCAATCCGTCGCAGTGAGGAATGTCGTCCGCCACTATCTGCACGCCCCCTGTCGTGCGAATACCCTCCGACTCGTCGAGCTCAATCGGTATACGACATAGCATACCGGCACTCGTATTCGTAAACCATAGGAATTCCTTGGTGATGCGCATTCGGTTCAGGCCGAAGAAATTGCCCTCGCCGGGAGGAGCCTTCATAGTATCGTCGGCGACAAATAAGGACACCTCGGCCGTCTGTATGTCTAAGCGCCAGATACAATTCTTAAACGAATCCGGTACTAAGAATATGCGTTCTGTAACTGGGATGAGGCCAATCGAAAAGCCCGTGTTTTGAATGTCGCACACTTTTGTCACCTCGGGCGGACTGCTGTCGTCGGGGCTAAGCTGCACGCGCCATACGATAAATTCCTCGAATGTTATGTTAACTAGGTCGACGATAGCCGATAGGACGAGGTAAGTGTCGTGGCCGCCCGGTAATGGGCACACGTTGATTAAGCCATTGGCGTGCTCTTCGAAATTGTATATTAGCTCCGGTGTTGAGTCCGGGTCCTCCGCATAAAATGTGTATAGCTCCGGCTCGTCTAGTCGGGAAGTGAGGATTTTGCCATTGGGGCGCAGAGCGAACCCTTCAAACCATGAGTCCGATGGTAGCTGGGTCACCAGGACCACGTCTTGCACGGATCCGTCCTCGAGCATGGCGTAATGCAAGGCGTATTAGTTAGGGAAGATGTTTGACAGTATGGGTGATTAAGGTTAAGGTATCGGGATGTGGGATGTGGGAAAGGTAAAATGTGGGAGAGCCATGAAGTTGTCAAGGTAGATGTGGTTGGCTCGTGAATATGAAATATGAAAAAAGAGTCCCCTCATCCCCTGTCGATTTCTGTATAATTATCACGTGGGTCGGTCCTCTTTCCCCCCTGAGCTATACCTATATCGAAGCATCTTATGCCCATCCCACACGAACCATTGACGTACAATCATGGTACCGGAAAAGGTAAAACCAAATACGTGAAGCATCCCCGGAAATTATGTCTTTTCATCGTCGTAATAGACCATGATAGGTGATATCGTTCTAGCATCTTTCCGATTCCCGTTTAGATCTCCTTGCCTTATATTTGTCGTCTTGACCTATAACTATTGGATGTCTTATGTTCAGAGATCATAGGTACCAGCTTAAGCAGAGGCTATTAACTCGTTAGAGATTTGGAAGTGAATCTTTAATATGTTACGTAAATCTTGTGCCGAACTCAGTGTACTCAGTGTAAAAACCTACCTAGATAGGCAATCCAGCTGTTGGCAGCTATTGTGTAAATACTTTACTGGAGGGCACCCCGTCGGGGTACCATAATAACCCGACTTTTAAGGGTTTTTCCGATCTTTTCCCGTATTCCAGGCGTTTTTTTAAATTTAAAAAATATAAACTTCGTTTAATTCGAATTAATATATTTAATTATTTATTAATTAATTAATTTTTATTTTTTTATATTTATATTATTAATTTATTATATATATTTTATATATTTAAAATTAATTTTATTAATTTTTTTATACCGTTTATTAACCGATGCGGAAATTTAAAATTTATTTAATGTTTATAATTTATAAAAAATAATAAATAAAATTTATTTAAATTAATTACACGGGATAATTAAATATATATAATAATAAAATTTAAATTATTTTTAAATAATTTTTAATTTAAAAAGTTTAAAAATTTTATTTTTAATATTATTTTTTAAAATTTAAAATTTATTATTATAAATATTAATATAAAAATAAAATTAATTTTTTTAAAAAAACGATTAATTTTTTTTAAAACGTTAATTTTTATAAAAAAAACGAGGAAAACATTATTTCGTAAATTAATTAAACGTATATTTTTTATTATTAAAAATAATAATAATATTATTTTTAAAAAATTTATTATTAAAAATACGTCGTAATTTAAATAAAAAATTAATTAATAAAAATTTAAAATAAATTCTTTAATTATATATTAAATATTATTTATTATTTTTAATTTTTAATAATTATTTTTAATTATATTTATTAATATTTTTTTTATAAAAATAAAATAAACCGGGACTTTTAATTTTAAGTTATTTATAATTTCGTATATAATATATAATAATATTAATTTTTTATTTTTTTAAAAAATATAACTTAATAAAAAAATTTATATTTTTTAATTTTTTTTTTTTATAAACGTTAAAATTATTTATAAGTTAATTACGTAATATATTTAATTTAAAAAATAAATTACTTTTAATTTTTTATTTAATTTAATATTATTTATATAAATAAAATAAATATTAAATAAATTTATATTATTAATCGTTTATTTTTCGTTTTATAATTAATAAAAAAAAATTATATAAATAATATTAATCGTTTATATTTATTAATTAAAGAATATTATAAATTTAAATTTAAATTAAAATTAATAAATAAAAACTTATTTTTTATTATATTTAAAAAATTTTTATTTAATTTTATTATATATAATTTTATTTATAAGTTTTTTAAAATAAAATAAAAAATTTTTTTATATAAAAATAAATTAATAAAAATTTCCGTAAAATATAATTATTAAAATACCGTTAAAATTTATACTTAATTATTTTTTTAAAGCTTATAATTATTTATTAATTTTTAAAAAAAACGAACCGAATATTATTAAACATTCGTTAATTATTAAAATATTCGTATTTTTTTATTTATTAATTTTATTAATTAAAATTATTTTTTTAACCGTTTTAAAAAAACTTATAACGAAATAAATTATTATATTATTAATATATATTTTTATATAATTTAACGTTATTATAATTTTAATATAACGGCGGTTATTTTTTTTTTTTAAAATTTTAATTAATATGTAAATAATAACGTTTTTTTTTATTTTTTTTTTACCACTTAAATAATAAAATAATTAAAAAAGTTTATTCGGTTATTTATTATTATCGTTATTTTTTTTAAATCGCATATAATTAATTACGTTAAAATATTAAAATATAATGTTTAAAAATATTATTTATTTAAAATTTAATTTTTCGTTTTAAATTAAAACCGTATTAACGTTAATTTATATTTAATTAAAATCGTATTTAATTATAATACGTATTAAATAAATAACCGATTTATTAATTAATTACACATTTATTAAATTATCGTTTATTTTTAATAATTTATAAATTTATATTATTTTTATTAATTCGGAAAATTTAATATTTACATTAATTAATTCGTTTATAACATTTATTATTTCGTATAATTTTATTATATTAAATACATTAAATTCGTTTTTTTAATTTTTAATATTATTTATAATAATTTTAATAATCACGTTATTTTTTATTATTAAACTTAATATCGTAAAATTATTATTATTTAATATATTTATATATTAATTTATTTTAAAATTAATAAATATTTTATTTATTTTTTTAACGTTATTAATTATAAAGTTACGTATAAATTATTATATTTTAAGTTTAAATAATAAGGTTTTAATTATAAAAGATTTTTAAAAATAAATATTAATGCCTTTTATAAAATAATTAAATTTTTTTATTTTTTTTTTATTTTTAATTTCCTCGTTTTTTTTTTTTTAATATTATTTAAATTTTAAAAATTATTATCGGAATTATTATTTACACGCATTTATTTAATTTTCATTTAATTAATTTATATTTTTTTATTACGTTATATATTTTTATAATTTTTTCGTAATAAATTAAAATTATCGTTATAAAATTAAATTTATTTTAACGTTTTTTAAATAAATTTTTCTTATATATTTATAATAATACCGGAATTTTTTAATAAAAACCTTTTTTAAAACACGAATAATTTTAATCGAATAATAACGAAATAATAATATATTTTTTTATTTTAAAAATTTAACGAATATATATTTATTATTATTAAAGTAAACATTTTTTTTTATTTAATAATTTATTAATAAAATTATTTATTTTTTAAATTATTATAAAATTCGGTATATTATTTTATTTAATATTTAAGTTTTAATATAATATTAATAATCGTAATATAATCGTATAAATATATATTTATAAATTAAAAACTTTATTTTTTATAAGTTTAATATAAATTTAATTTAATATTAATTATAAAGTATAATATAATTTTTTTTATAATTAAATTTTTATTATTATCGGTCGTTTTAAACGTAAGATTTTATAAATGTTCTTATTTTTTCCGAACGGTGAAATATATTATATTAAAATATATTTAACGTTATTTTATTTTTAAATAATAAAACATTTTATAACTTAATATATAATTATATATTTTAAACGTAAAAAGTTTTTAATTAATAAATATTTAATTAAAAACCTTAATTATAAAATTTCATGTTTTTTTAATTTAATTTTATAAATTAATATATTTAAAATATTTTATTAAAAAATTAAAATAAATAATTAAATTAATAAATCTTTAATTAATTAATAAATAATTATTAATTATATAATTAATAATATATTATAATAACGTTAATATTTTTATAATAATAAAAATAAAAATAAAATTATAATTATAACGTAATATTATAATAATAATTTTATTTTAATAAACATAATTAATATTTTAACGGGTAATTTTTAAGATTTTTTTAAAGTTAATGTAAATTTTATTAACCGGATTTTAAAGGTATTCGAATTAATATAATTTACCGTTTTTCCTTTTTTAATTTTCGTTAATTATTTATTAAATATTTAAAACATATAAACGTACATTTATATAATTAAATTATTATAATAATAAAATAAGTTTTTTTTTCTTATTTAACTTTAAATTAATTTAAATTTTATTTTAATTTTTCCGTAGTTTTTAATTAATTTTTTATTAAATGTTTTTTATTTAATATTTTATAATTAAAGTTTTTTTAAAAATATTCATTAATATAACGGATAAATTCATTAATTTCTTCGTTAATCCCGTAATTCATAAAATTAAAGAAAAAACTTAAAAAATTAATATTATTAAAAAATTAAAAAAACCCGTGAAAATAAAAAGCCTTACGGTTATTTATTTTAATAATTTTAAAATAATTATTTATAAATTTAAAAATATTATTTTAAATTAACGTATAAATAATTTTATTAAAAAATATTTAAATATAAATGTAAAATTATTTAATAAATATAATAAAATTTTAATTTATTTCCTTTTATTAAACATGGTATTTATTAATAATATATTCGTTTAATTATTTTTATAATCGTTTTAAATAACGTTTATTACGAAATTTTTTCCCTATTTTTATTTATATTAATAAAAACATATTATTAAAATTTAAAATAAACTATATTACGGGGGGGTTATATTTTAAAATTATATTTTTAATTTTATTTTTTATTTAAACTTTTTTTTTATTAATAAATAATTATTATTAATTAAATATTATAATTTATTATAAAAATATATTTATATTTAAATTAAAAATTTTATATATTTTATAAAGTTTTTAATTTATTATTATTAATTATTTTTTAATTATTATTTTATAAGTTTATTTTATAACTTTAAAGGATAATTTATTTATTTATATTTTATTAATATAAACATTATTATTTTTAATTATACGATTAAAAATTAAGAAAAAAAATATGAAATATATAACGGCAACGGTTTTATATTAATATAATTTAATCGCCATTTAATTATAATTATAAAATAATTAATAAATATATATTTTAATTTATTAATGAATTATTAAAAGGAATAAATTATATAATTTTTATATAAAATTTTTCTTTTTATATTTTATTTATTTTTTTTTTATATTATTTATAACTAACGAACCATTTAACCTATATAAAAAAATAATAATAAAAATTAAAACAAAATAATAAAAATCTTTATAATTTAAAAATTATATCCTTAAAAATATTTAAAAATATAACCGGCTTTTATATATTTTTTTAACGATATTTTTTTAATTATTATTAATTTAATAACCATGAAATTTAATATTTATAAATTATTAAATAAATATAACTTTTTACGTATCGTTTATTTTTTTAATAATAACATTAAAAAACCCGGAAAAAATTATTATATAAAATATATTAACGTTATTCCTTTTATTAATAAAATTAATAATTAAATTAATATTAAAAATTTCATGATTATAATTAATATTATTATTAAATAATATATTTTCCACTTTTTAATAAATTTTTTTTTATTTTTATTATATATTATAATTATTTATAATTTATAATTTATTAAAATTAAAATGTTTTTTTTTATAATTATTATATATTAAGTTTAAAATATTTTATTTAAAAATATAACCCGTTTATTCGGCATATTTAATTATAATATTTTTAATATAAATTAAATTTAATATTATATTAAATAAAAAA